ACACAAATGCATATTACATAACATACAAAGAAACCAAAACTGCCATTACATTTCTGTTTTGTGATTTTCATGGTTTTAAAATGTATGTCTATTATGTGTTTTTCTTGTGCTTTTTCTTTCTTTTGTAAAAATCTCTTTTGTTTTATTTGTCTGTTTTCTAAAAAGAGAGAGAGAGAGAAGGTTGGATGGGTTGGGAGGTGGGAAGGATCTTGGAGGTGGTATGGAAAGGGAAATCGTGATCAGAATATATTGTATAAATTTTCAACAAAAAATTTAAAACGAAAAAAGGAATGTGGATGGTAAAGTCTGTGCTCATGAAGTTTCAGAGTGGAACAATAAATCTACTAGGAACCGGGCCACAGGCTTTTGGTTACATTCTGGCAAAGAATATGACTGTATTATATCTAAAAATATGAGTGAAGCTGAATTAAAATGTAAGCAACTAATGTTTTATAGCAAAAAAAAACCTTCAGACCAGAATAATGTTCATGTGGTAGCCAGCATTCACAGTGTGGCATGGTTCTTGTTCACTGGTCTTTTCCAGCATTACATTGAGAAAGAGCAGGAAATACAGCAGAAAGAGATGAAAATTATTGTTTTGATGGGGAAAGGAGTTTGAGTGGTTTTAAAGTTTCACACAAGGTAAGTACAGAGAAAACAGCTGTAATTGTTTACAGAAAGAGACAAGCCCCATTAAAGAGACCCCTCCTGCTCTACACTAGGACAATGTGTACCTTTAGGGAAAGACCTTACCAACTGAAGGCTTCAACGTCTGAAAACTCAGATTCTTTTGAAAGCAGAGGTCTCAGACTGAACATGCTGTCACTGGGTGTGATGGTTGGAATAAGAATGCCCCCCATAGGCTCATATATTTGAATGCTTAGTCAAAATCAGGGAGTGGCACTATTTGAAAGGATTAAAAGGACTAGGAGATGTACAGGAATTGTGTCACTGGGTTCAAAACCTACACCAGGCTAGGCTCTCTCTCTCTGCCTACACATCAGGGTGTAGCTCTCAACTACTCCAGAACCACACTTACCATGCCTGCTGCCATGTTCTCTGCCATGATGATAATGGACTAGACTTTTGAAAGTGTAAGCCAGCCCCAATTAAATACTTTCTTTTATAAGAGTTGCCATGCCAAGGTTGTCTCTTCACAGCACTAGGACAGTATCTAAGACACATGAGTTCCCTGCCCTTAAATGACCACACATGGACATGTTCCCTCAGGGTCAGCCCAGAAGGTGTATAAAGGCCAGTGCAACTGTGTTCATTGTGGTCTACCCACAACATGTAGCTTGTAGGGACAAGCTACATCTAAAGCTGGCACTGGAATCTGGAAGTGTTATCTCCATGGTACTGTTTTAACATATAACCAAAATACAATTGTTAGTGGGACACAGAAGTTTGACCAAAGTTGCAGAAAGCCAAGAAATGTGTGGCAGAATTTGGTTCCCTGCAAGGAAGCCTTAAGAAGCCACTGAATAAGGCTAGAAAGGTACAGTTTAAGTTGCAATGGAAACTCCAAATTATTGGAGATGGCAGGACTATGGGACATCTGCCAAGGAAAGCTTTGTGTGTGGAGTGGTGCTAGCACATGGGAGAGGGGGTGTAACAGAGGCAGCAGAGCTGGGGAGGCAGGCCTACCTTCGCCCTTTGGAGCCCAGATGCTGCACAGTTTGACATTTTCCCTGCTTGGGTTTGGTTTGCTTTGAGCCAATCTTTGCCTGTGACATTCCCCACTACTCCCTTTTGGAATGGCAAGGTTGACTTTGTGCCATCATACATATTAAGTATGACTTGACTTTATAGGGGCTCTGTCTTAGTTTCTGCTTCTATGATAAAAATACCCTGACAAAAATAAGTTAAGTGACAAAGGGTTAGTTTTGGCCTGCTTTTCCACTCCATCATGGTGAAGAAGACCTAGCAGCAGGTGCATAGCCAGCTGTCGTGGTGCATTGGCAGTCTGGTAGCTACAAGTGGAACTAGGCTACAAACTTTCAGCGCCAGCTCTCAGTGACATGCTTCCTCCAGCAAGGTCACACACAGTAAGGGTTCCATAACTTTCCCACACAACACCCCCAGCCTGGGACCAAGTGTTCAAACATATGACCCAATGGGGGACACTTCAAATTCAAACCTCACCCCGTTTACAGTGCAGCCTGCTTTCAGTCTTAGAAGACACTTTGGACTTTTGAACAGAGTTGAGACTTTGAAGGCTTAAGAGCCTTTTAGAGATAGACTAAATGAGTTTTAAATGTGAAGTGACTTGGGGGCCAAGGGTCGAATGTTACTACTTAATGTGCTGTAATTTGGTGTCACATTGACAAAAGATGGAGTTGTGCTGGTCCATCTTCTTTGTCAGCCTGAATGGATTTAGAATCACTATTGCACTAGGTTTAACCAGGGGAACCCTGAAGAAGAATAGGAGGAAGAATTTTAGGAGCCAGAGGGGTGGAGGACACCAGGAGAACATAGCCCACAGAATCAACTAATCAGGGCTCACAGGGGCTCAGAGAGGCAACAAAGGCGATCCCTGTATGGCTCTGAGCTAGGGCCTCTGCATATACCTTACAGTTGCATTAGCTTGGTGTTCTTGTGTAACTGGTAGTGGTAGTGTCTTTGACTTTTTGGCCTGTGCTTGGTACCCTTTCCTCCTACTGGGTTTCTACATCTGGCCGTGACATGAGGGTTTGTGCCCAGTCTTACTGTATCCTGCTACGCCATGTTCAGTGGATATCCCTGGGAGGTCTCCTCCTCCTCCTCATCTTCTTCTTTTTCAGGGAAACAGGAGGAGCTGATCTGGGGGAGAGGGGAGGTTGGGAGGGAAGGGACTAGGACAAGTGAAGGGAGGGGAAACTGTAGTCGGGATACAATGTATGAGAGAATAAAAGTTAAATTAAAAAAAAAAAAGAATCGCTATTTCAGGCAACAAAGCGGGAAGGGTGGATATATCTAAGGCCTTTGACAAGAGATGTGAGCTACAGAATTCGGGATTTGCCCTGATGGGTTTTGGTCTTGCTGTGGTTCACTATTTCCTCACTATGTCCCCATTCCTTCTTTTTGGAATGGTGATGTATATTCTGTGTTGTTCTATATTGGAAGTATGAAATTCACTGTTTGTTTGTTTGTTTGTTAGTTAGTTAGTTAGTTAGTTTGTTTGTTTGTTTGTTTTACAGAGGGTTACAGTTAAGGGATTTCCGGGAGTCCCAAAAGAGACTTTCATTCTCTGTTGAGACTGTTACAGACTACAAGGGCTTTTGAAGTGGACTAAGTGCATTTGCATTATGATATGGCTACAAGCCTAAGGGGACCAAAAAAATGGAATATGGTACTTTGAATGAGGATGACCACCATAGATTCATGCTTTAATATGTGGTACCCTCACTGCCGGGTATGGTGGTATCTTTAATCTTAACACTTGAGAGGCAAAGGCAGGCAGATCTTTGTGAGTTTGAGGCCAGGTCTACAGATTAAGTTCCAGGACAACCAAGGCTGTTACAGAGAGAAACCAAAAAAGAAAGAGAGAGAAAGAAGGAAAGAAGAGAAAGAAAGGAAGTGAAAAAGAGAAAAAGAGAAAGGGGAGGGCATGGAGGGGCTTACAGCTGGGATACAAAATGAATAAGCTAATTACTATATTAAAAATAAAATTTTAATAAAAAAAGAAAGAGAAAGAAAGAAAAAGAAAGGAAGGAAGAAAAAGAAAAGAAAGAAAGTGAAAGAAAGAAAGAAAGAAAGAAAGAAAGAAAGAAAGAAAGAAAGAAAGAAAGAAAGAAAAGAATCCCCAGTTGATGGAATCGTTTGGGAAGGTTTAGGAGGTTTGTTCTTGTTGGAGGTGTGTTACTGTGGGAGGGCTTTGAGCTTTCAAAGATTCAAGCCATTCACACATACACACTCTTCCTCTCTCCCTCCCTTTCTCTCTCTCTTTCTCGCTCTGTGTAGAAGTAGGAAAGTGGATGACAAGGTGTGCCCACATTTAATGTAGATAAACCCATGAAAGGGAAGCAACAGACATGGCTTGAAGGAAGACTGTCTGCCTAGAATCCACCAGTGACAATGTCTCAATCTTGAGCACTTGCTCAGCATGCGCGGACAGTGGTTTGATTCCTAAAACAAAAGGAGGAGGCACTGAGAAGAGGCTCAACCTTAGCACACGTAGGAGAAAGAAGGGGTGAATATAGTCAATTTCCCGTGTGGGTAGAGGCCTGGACTAGTTGGTCACCATCTTTGATTCTGCACAGTAGGTGCTAAACTGGCAAGCGACTGTTCTACTGTTCTGATATGTCCCATAGTGTCTTCTTACATGGCTTTGGTAGCAAACGCTCTGTAGCTCTCTGTGCAGCTTCGGAGCCTTTGCACACCCTGTAGCCGACGTTGCGCATACTCCATCCCATTTGTCTGTAGAGATAGGACCGAGCCTGGTACCAGGCAGGCGCACTTAAATACTGAAAGATCGAATGAATGCACGATTGCCTTTGTCTATTGTGTAGACGGGAAGAAGCAGAGACACGCGGGACCCTCCCTATTCACTGCAGTCCACCCGTTGGAATCAAAGCATCTTTCTGGGAGGGAAGCTGGGCTGGGGGCTGCCCTCGGGGGGGGCCCTCGCTGACCTCCCAAAGAGCGCGCTTTCCTGGAAACAGAGCACAGTCCTCCAAACCCGGTCACCTGACTCTCCTGCCAGAGCTCCGCCGGGTCCACCCGTCTGCCCACCCGCGCAGCCCCCGTAATGGTTCAGCCCGACGTCATTTAGACCGAGGAAGGTTGGACCACTGCGCGCGCGGTAGGGGGAGTCCGAGGCGCGGCGGAGGGATCCCCCGGAGCGGACCGACGGGAGGCGCCCATTGGCCGCGAGTGCGGACGGCCGCCGCTGATTAGTCCTCTCGGGTCGCCGGCCCCGCCCAAGTCCCGGAGGCCGAGGGAGAAGCCGGGCGGAGTTTCCAGAGGACCGAGAGGGGCGCGCGGGGTGGCGGCGGCGCAGGTGAGTGTCCCCCGCCTGGTGTGGAGCCCGTGGCGGCGGGGTGGGGTTGGCCGCGTCGGGACCCCCAAATACGGACCGCTCCCCGCTGGCCGGGGCCTCCGGTCCGCCCCTGCTCTCTGCTCCCGGGACGCTCCCCGTTGGTGGTGGGTCCGTGTTCCCGACCCTTCCCAGGCCTCTGCCCAAAGCTGGCCAGCGGGGACACGAAGACCACTCAGGGTCGGATAACAATCACAGCTGCAGTGCTAGCTTGATGACTGCCCCCTCGCTAGCCCGGACCCAGCGCTTCCTCGTCCGATGTGCACAGCGTTGAATCAAAACACCCTCCTGGGAGGGGCTGTTAACTTCTTTTATAAGTGAGGCACCAGTTCCAGAGAGGTGGAGTGACTGACTCAAGGTCACACAGCCAGTAAGTGGCCGGTGGGAAGGAGGGGCTCGTACTCTTTGAGTCCAGAAACTAGTCCCAGAGATCAGGTGCTCCTAACCAGCCCCGGACTTATTGCCCACCCGTCCCTGAATTCACTTTGGAACTGCACCTGCTGGTTTTTGCTTTCCTCCTTGCGCCCACAGGCCACTAAACAGCTTCCAAGTTGCCCTCTGGTCCTTTCTCTGAGCAGGAGAGGCAAGGCCAAAACACGATGAGTCGTTTAATCCTGTTCCCTCTCCACCCACCCAGTCCACTCTGTGAAGAGAAATGACCGGGAGTGTAGAGACTGGGTGTCTGGGGAGCTGAGCTAAGGCGATCGGGCAAGCAGTGCATTCACGCCCCTCCGCCCCCGCCCCGGAAACACTGGAGAGCTGAAACCTTCAGGATCCGGTTTTTCAAGAATGAATCAGAGGCCTCCTGCCCTGCACCCCAAAGCAGTACGGTGCTGGGGCTTAGGAGAGAGGGACGGCTCGGGAGCAGGTGTGGTGTCTAAGCCAGGAGTTATCTGAGCCACAGGATAACTCTGCTTCCTGCTTCCCCCCACCCCCCACCCCTTAGCTTTTCTGTGACTGCCGGGTTGCTAACTTTCAGGCCCTTTTTGGGACGAGAGTACTGGACTCCGGAAATACATCCAACCCACTTCCCTTCAGCTCCTTGCTGAAAGACTGGAGGGGTGCTCACACTTAGATGTGTAGCAGTAGGGATTTGGCCCACAGTGGGTCCGGGATATATTCATTTTACAGTTCAGCTGCCGCTGCCTCTCCCCCCTCACCCCCACCCTGTGGAACCCTAGGCCTCACACATGCAAGGTAGGTGCCCCCCTGCTGAGCTACACCCCCATCACTTACAAATACAGAGCAGCCACTGTGCCAGGCACCGTATTTTGCTTGGAGGAAACTCCTCCAAATGCAGGATGGAATTTCCTGCATTCTGGTGGGGAACAGGCAACAAGTTAACATGAGCAGCCACGGTAGAGCTTTCTAAGTGCTGAGTGGCTTCTGAGAGAGCAGGGGGTTCTGGAACAATATGCCTTTTGCAGTCTGGAGATCACACACCAGGTAGAGCAAAGTGTAGAATAGCTGATACAGGGAATGAAGCTAGAGATGAATGAAGCTATAGGAGTTAGAGGTGCCTGATACACAGGACACATCTTTTATTTTTAATTTTTAAGGGTTCTTCCCTATACGGTGGGATCCCACTGTCAGATCGGACATAGATGAAGGATGCCATCTGGTTCGTGTTTTAAAGAGACATAGGGGCTCCAGAGACAGCTCAGAGAGCTGGGAGTTCGATGCCCAGCACCCAAGGGGTAGTTCACTACCATCTCTTAACTCTCACTTCCCTCTTCTGACCTCTGCAGGCACCAGGTACACAAGTGGTACACAGACAGACATGCAGCAAAGCCCTCAAAGACACTAAAAACAAACAAACAAACAAAAAACAGACACAAAGTTAAACAACAGCCGGTAGCTTAGAAGATGAGGTCTGTCGGTCAGGGCTGCAGATAACTAAGTTCGTAGGCCTGAGTCCTGTGAACCATGGGAGCTGCTCCACTGGGCTGGGGCAAGCCAGCTGCCTGGAAAAGTCTGGAGTAGGCATTGCCAGGCATAGGGCCTGGGGTGCTCCTGGGCCAGGGAAGGGGTGATGCAATGGTGGTGAAGGCTAGAACAGTCTTTAGGCATGGGTCGGCAGTGCAGCCCCTGCCTAGAATCCGTCAGTGAGGGTGGCATAGGGTGCGTGTGGCTCAGCAGTGGAGTGCCTTCCTAGCAGATAAACGTACTAGTGTCTGTTTCCTTTACTTGCAAATAACACTTCCTGAAGTGGTGAACTAAAGTACTGAACAGGTTGCATGTAGCACAGTTTTTAGAGTCCCTCCCGGAAGGGCCAGAATTCTGCCAAATTTTCAGATGGAAAACCGGAGCTTCATGAAGTTAAGCAACTTGGTTTTGTCTGTGCCACTGTTAAGTGGCAAGGGTAGGACTTGAAACCAGGCTGCCCCACTGTATCTCAGTGTCTGTAGTACTAACGTCTTAGTCACTCATTTTCCTCAAGACAAAACTGTAGGGTCCATGTAGACCATGGAGGTGGCTCACCAGGTAAATTGCTGTGCCAGCCGATTTTGACAGTCAGAGCCCACATGAAAATGCAAGGCACAGTGGTTTGCACTTGTTACCCCATTTCTGAGAGGACATAAATGGGCTCTTGGACAACCAGCCTAATTGGAAAGCGACAAAGTGGGCCTGGGGATATGGGCTATAACTTAGTGATAGACCCCTTGCCTGTCATATGCAAGGCCCTGAGTTCACTTCCCAGTACAGAAGGGGTGAGCACCCTGGAGAGGTGGCTCAGCAACGTGAAGGCGTGCTGCCATGCCTGTGACCTGAGTTTGGTCCGTGGGACCCACATGATAGAGGGAGAGAACTGACTCCCACCACCTCTGCAGGCTTACTGTGGGGACACACATGAACACAATAAAAAAAAGATTTGTTTTTTCCTTGAGACGGGCTCACGATGTAGTTCTGGTTGTCCTAGAACTTGCTGTGTTGAGCAGCCTAGCTTCTGCGTAATACTTTTTATTTTGTGTATGAGTGTGTTACCTGCATGCATGTCTGCACACAGAAGAGGGCATCATTCCCTCCCTGCAACTAGAGTTAGAGGCAGTTGTGAGCTGCCCTGTGGATGCTGGGAAGAGTAGGCAATGCGCTTAACCATTGAACCATCTTTCCAGTCCTCCTTGAGGACTGATACCCAAGGTTGACCTCTGAACTCCACACATACCCACACATCTTTGGCATGAATGAGCACAGTAGAGCTGGAGACATGGCTTGGCACTTAAGAATGCTTGCTGCTCTTCTGGAGGACCTGAGTTTGGTTCCCAGCACCCATGTTGGGCAGCTTACAACTGCTTATCGCTCCATATCTAGGGGATCCAGATGCGGGGAGTTCTGGCCTTTGCAGTCACCTGCACGCAGGCCTACACACCCACACAGAGACTCATACCTGTACACAAAACAAAATGCAGTCTTTTAGGAGGTGAGATGGCTCCATGGGTAAAGGCAGTTGCCACCAAACTTGATGGCCTGACCCCACTCAGGAAGGTTGTTCTCTGACTGACAAATATGTTGAAGCATGCACACCTACACACATGCACACAGAATAAGTAAATGTAAATAGAATATGTAAGTTAAAAAAATAAAAAAGACCGGGTGGGAGCGGAGCACTCCTCCAATCCCAGTACTCAGGAGGCAGAGGCAGGTGGACCTCAGTGAGTCCAATGCCAGCCAGGGCTACACAGACAAAAACTATAGGGAGGAGGGATTCACTAAATTTAGGCAACTTGATAAAAAGTGGATCAAGATCATTAAATATGTATAAAAAGGTGTTTGGCGCTATTGGTTAGCCCAGAGCGCAAAGGCAATCCTACAGCAAAAAGTCAGGTTGTGTCTCCCTGCCCAGGCGCTGTGCTGGGAACAGAATGAGGCTCATGAAGTGGCCTGGGGAAATGGCCAGTCCTGCCTTTCTTCCCCCAGCCACACAGGGCACTCCCGCATCCAACAGTGACTTATCTGTAACAACCGCTGTTACACAGGGTTAGACATTAGTGACACGCAGATCTCTCCCTGCAGCAGACAGTGGCATAAAATACCCAGCCTGGCTGGAGGGGCAAGGGGGCTCCTGGATGGCAGAGGGGGCGGCCAGTACAAAGACCCTGAGGCAGTTCTGGCCTACCTGTTTGAGCAGCATGGAGGAAGAGCGACTGCGGGAGTGTAGGCCACTGGGGCACAGAGGACAGTGGGATTCTTGGGGGAGGTCAGGGCACAGAATGAAGTGACATAACTGTGTTCATAAGGTCGTTCTGCTTCCTGTCTTGACAAGAAACTGGAGGGTAAAAGGAAGCCTGAAGACCCAGAGGGAACTTAGAGTGTAGGTGAGCAGGGAGGGGAGTGGAGATTTGGGTCAGTACAGGAATGCATGGCAGTTTGAGCACGGAACCCTCCGAGAAGATGTGATCTGGCCAGCTGGATTCCCTTGTACCTGGGATGGCCCCTCGGGGGTGAGAGTCTGCAGCGCACAGGAGGTTCCTAGCACATAGGATGTACTTTGATATGGAAGCTGAAGAAGAGGACCAGGAGTTTAAGGCAAGCCTGTGCTACTTACTTAGTGTGACCCTGCCTGAAAAGAGATGAATTTAGCCAGGTGTGCTCATGAGCACCTGTGTTCCCAGCTCTCCAGATAAGGCAAGCAGGTCACAAGTTCAAGGTCAACCTTGGCTATGTACCAAGTTTGAGGCCACCCTGGGCTACGTGAGCCCTGGTGAGGTAGGTGAAATGTGACTGAGGGTAGGTGTCAAGGCCAGGGAGCTTCCTTGGGAGATTGTAGATCAGGCACCCTTGAGGGAGCTGTGGCTTCTTTTGCTTTGGACAAGTGATTTGAATATGAAATCAAGGTCTGGGTGTGTGTGTGTGTTTACCTAGTGTGCAGGAGGCCTGGTCTCGTCCCATACTAGGAAAAGAAAGGCTCTGCCTTCTCTCCCCTCCCCGCCCTCCCTTCTTCCCTCTACTTCAACCATGCTATTCAGGCGATGTGAGTGTGAGTATGGTGGCATACGTCTGTAGTCTCAGCACTCAGAAGGCAGAGGCAGGTGGATCTCTGTGAGTTCAAGGCCAGCCTGGTCTACAGAGTGAGTCCAGGACAGCCAGGGCTACACAGAGAAACCCTGTCTTAAAAAACAAAACAAAACAATATAACCCCATAACTGTGAATAAAATAAGAGCGTGATTATAGTACATACCCTCCCTAAAAAAAGTTTGCAGGATAAAGGGAGAGAGAACAAAGACATAAAGAAAAGGGAGAAGAGCTGGAGAACTGCTCTTTTAACTGCTGTGACCGCCAGGGTTCTGATCCTGGTAGCAGTATGGTTGGGTTTTCTGGCTACTAGCCGTAGGGAAAAACAAACAGTCCTGGAGCCCTAGGATCAGAGAGAGTCCCTGCCTCAAAGGATAAAGAGGAGAGTGATAGAAGATGCCATGTGGCTCCCTTTGGCCTATGTGAGCAAATACTGCACACACATAGTAAAAATAAATAAATAAACATGGTAGCCCCAGACTTTATTGGCAGGGGTTGGGGGCGAGGTGACAGGATTTTTCTATGTAGCTCTAGTTAGCTTGAAATTCTAACAAGGCCAGGGTGGCCCTGAAGTCACAGAGATCTGTCTGCCTACCTTCCAAGTACTGAGGCTTGCCTTCACAAAAGTGTGCACACATGTGCACACATGTACAGTTTGATGGCTCAGCGTGAAGACACTGGCCAGCAAACCTGACCTGAGTTCTAATCCATAGTTCACATGGCAGAAGGAGAGAAGTGACTCCTGTAAGTTGTCCTTTGAGTGCCACTCGAACACAGTGGCCTGCCTGACAAGAGACAAAACAGACAAGAAAGAAAGAAAGAAAACAAGTACAGTCACATGCCACTTAATGGTGGATTATCATTACAGGATGTGGCCTTAAGGCAATGATTGCTAGGATCCCTCACAGCGATGGAAGCGTCTTGCTTTGTCTGTGTATTAGGAAGAGTTTTCTGAGTACAATGAAAGGGAGCAGCTACTCTCACCACCTGCAGCCTCTTTATTTTTATTCATACTTTTTGAGACAGGCGGGTCTCCCTCTGGAACCCAGAGTGGCCTGGAACTGCCTTCGTAGTTCAGGCTGTACTTGAGCTGCTCTCCTGCGTCGCCTCCTGGTGCTGGGGTTGCACATGTAAAGCCACTGTGCCTGCTGGAGTTAAAGATCGTCAGGGAGACTCATTGTGTATGTGGGCTCCACTGTTGGATAGACCGTTGCTGTGAGGCACGAGGCTCCATCAGGACAGCTTTTACTGCAGTGACAAACAATGCCCAAGTATCTGGCTGAATCCAACCACAGCTTCCATTTTGAAAAAGAGTTGTTTCTTCTTTTACCCCCCCACCCCCGTGTGTGTGCGTGTGTGTGTGTGTGTGTGTGTGTGTGTGTGCGCGCGCACGCGCGCGCGCAGGTACATGCATGCTCCAGAGCCTATGTGAAGGCTATGAGGACAACCTCAGCATCAGCCCTCACTTTTCACGTTGTTTGAGACATTTTTCTTGTTGATTCCATATACCAGACTAACTGGCCATAAACTTCTCCTGTCTGCACCTTGCTCTGTAAACATGCTGGGATCACCTCATCTAGTGCGGTGTCGTTCCGGGGGTTTGAGCTTAGGTCCTCCTGCTTACACTGAGCTTTCCCTACTAAGCCATTTCCCCAGCCCTTGTTTATTTTGTTTCTGAGACAGTAGTCACCTTGCAGTCCTGACGTCGAGCTTGTGGTAGTCCTACCTCAGTCTGAGTCCATGCTGCACCCTGTGCCTGCCTGGTGCTTTTGCTCTTCCTACACATCCACTGTACCTGGTCAGAGAACCTGTGTCTCTCTGTCTTACTGTCCTGCTGCTGTGAAAACTCAGCGTGACCAAGGCAACGTCCAAGAGCAAGCATTAGTTAAGGGCTTCCTCTCAGTCTCACAGGGCAAGTCCATGAATATCATGGTAGGGAGCATGGCAGCACGAAGGCAGGCGTGGTAATGGAGCAGCAGCTGAGAGCTTATGGTGTTTTCAGAGACAGACAGACACTGGGTGGGCCTGGCATGGGCTTTTGACATCTCAAAGCCCACCTTCTAATGACACATTTCTTCAAACAGTCTGTCATCGAGGAAGCAAACATTCAAATATATGAGCCCTTGGGGCTCGTCCTCACTAGAGCAGCACAGTTGCTGTCACTAAAGACCTGTGCAGCCTGATAATGTTCTTCCCACTGTGTCCATCGTCCTGGGCGCTGTCCAGGAACAGGAGCTCTGGAGAATTTTGTTCCAGTAATTAGATGTTTCTATGGGGATGTGTCACAAATTTCTTCCTGTTAGAACTCATTGGCAGAGCTGGTTATCTGCCTGTCCTATCCCAGGAGCCATGGCAGGGCCCTGCACTGTGTGCTTTGAGGAAGAGACTCTGGACCTGTTTCCCTGTGTGTGCATCACAGCTGTGCAAGTGCAGTTGTGTGTGGAGCCATTCCTCAGGAGCTGTCCGCTTTGGGGTGTATTTTTTTATTACACATGTGTATGTATGTATGTGTGTAGATTCATAAGCACAGTGCACAGGTAACGGTCAGACAACATTTACATGAGGAGGCTCTCTCTTACCATGTGGGGCCAGGGGATCAGACTCAGGTCTGCAGGCCTGATGGCAAGCGCCTGTACCCACCAAGCCATCTTACCAGTCACCTGCCTTGGCAGGGTTTCTCCGTGGCCTGGAACTCAGCAAGTAGGCTGGGCTGGCTTTGGGCCGGAGGGATCCTTCTCTCTCCAGCCCTAGGACTGCAAGGAAGCTGGGTGTGCTGGTATCCATCTGTTTTCCCAGCACTTGAGAAGCGGAGGCAGGAGGTCATGAGTTCTAGGCCAGCCTGCACTGCAGGATGAGAGTCTGTCTCAGAGAAATGAAAAATGAAGCCAAGGGCCAGTGCTTTACTTTCCCTTCCCTTACCGTGTAGGTAGCAGTGGTTAGAGCAGGATGCATTGAGGACTAAAGACGGAATGAGAATTGGGTGAGCTCACAGCAGTGTGCAGTTGTAATGGGTGTCCACTCATGATTATTCCTCTGCAGTGTGAGGCTTCATTCAGGCGTGGGGTGAGACCTGGGCTTTATTAGCTTGTGACCCACCACTGAATTGCTCCTAGTCAGTTCTGGGGACCCAGATTGAATCCATTTTACTTGGAAAACATCCAGGCAAGGCAGATGTGCTGGTAATCCCAGCCACTCTGGAGACTGAGGCAGGAGGATTACAAGTTCAAGGACAGCCTGCATAACTAACAACTGTGTCAATATAAAAAGTAAGAAGCAGTGTAGGCATGTAGCTTGGGAACACGTGTGCAAGGCCAAAATCAAACCCCAGGAGGGAGGCAGGCTGGCTGGCTGATTCAGGGAGAGCCTTGCACCTATGCTGAACAGAGAAAGAACTTTTTGTTATTGCTCTTTAAAATAATTTGGCAGAACAAGAGTGTTCATAGATTTAAATGGGTGGAGCTGACTCCAGTATATGAGAGGGGCTGTGGCTCTGGCTGAGCACTAGCCAAGCATGGGGAAAAGAGTAAGGCCCTCAGCAGAGCGCACACACAACACATTATGTGGTGGAGATGGTCTGGCACACCGTGCTTAGGAGCCTGAATCACATCCTCAGGCTCCTATGCTCAGTGGTAAAATGCTTTCCCAGCCTGTACCAGGCCCCTTGGTTAAGGACCCCCGCTTTGCAAAACATAACCATTTTGGTACCATGTAGTGGTGACGGGTGACACCCAAGGCTTTTGTCACTCAGAGCATGAAGACCAATTCCCTTTCTACAGGTCTCCTGGCCAAGTCCCCATTTCTGGCTGCTCATGCCACTGGGACTGGGGCGGCGGAAGAAAGCACCACCTCTGGTGGAAAATGAGGAAGCGGAGCCAAGCCGGAGCGGGCTGGGAGTCGGGGAGCCTGGGCCCCTGGGTGGAAGCGGAGCAGGGGAATCCCAGATGGGCTTGCCCCCACCTCCTGCTGCTCTCCGGCCTCGCCTGGTGTTCCACACCCAGTTGGCACACGGCAGTCCCACAGGCCGCATCGAGGGCTTCACCAATGTCAAGGAGCTGTATGGCAAGATCGCGGAGGCTTTCAGACTACCAGCTGCAGAGGTACCTGTGAGACCAGGGTCCCCTAAGAGCAAGCCACAGGCCTGGGCATGTGTTCTTGAAGCTGGGGCTCATACTCCTGGTTGGCCAGCAGCCCCTGAATCTAGAAGGTGTGTCTGTAGCACCATACTGGGTTCCCTTCGGGTCTGAAGTAGCCTGCCTGCAGCCCAGTAGGTGGAAGATATACAGCCAGAGGCGGTAGCTGGGTTTCTGTAAGGCATTGGGAGGCCTGTGCCCCCAAACACTGTTGAGGCTGGAGTCAGGAGCAGCTTCTATTTCTTCATGATGCACTGGAGGCTCCATAGAAGCAGGGAGGCCACAGGGAGGGCAACAGTGGAGCTGGGCATCAGGTGGAGGCAGGTAGTGAGGCTAGCTGGAGGTCCAGACCCCTTCACTCCTCCACATTTATGGGGTGTTCACTGGACATCAGACCAGCACTGAGTTCTTACCAGACAGAAATCCCGCTTGTAGCATTTGATGTAGTGTTGTGCCTTGCCTTGGCTCTGGTTTCACCAATCCATGGGATATGGGTGTTTTGTGACCTCCTAAATGTTAGTAAAGGGGCCCCAGGGAGGAGGGAGTGAGCATCTTGCCCAACCTCTGCAGGTGATGTTCTGCACCCTCAACACCCATAAAGTGGATATGGACAAACTCCTGGGGGGCCAGATCGGGCTGGAGGACTTCATCTTTGCCCACGTCAAGGGGCAGCGCAAAGAGGTGGAAGTATTCAAGTCCGAAGACGCTCTGGGGCTCACCATCACCGACAACGGGGCCGGCTATGCCTTCATTAAGGTGCCAGGGTGGGTGGCACACCCTTAGTCAGTGGCCAGGGTCTATAATGGGACCTAGAGTGCAGCTTCCAGGGCTGATGCCTGCCCCTCCACAGCGCATCAAGGAAGGCAGCGTGATTGACCACATCCAGCTCATCAGCGTGGGTGACATGATTGAAGCCATCAACGGGCAGAGCCTGCTGGGCTGTCGACATTACGAGGTCGCCAGGCTCCTCAAAGAGCTGCCCCGAGGCCGCACCTTCACCCTCAAACTCACAGAGCCCCGAAAAGCCTTTGGTAAGTAGTTCTTGCAATCTGGGCCACCCACTGGGATGACCTTGAATTCTTGAGAAATACAGGCTGCAGTACTGGGAACCACCAGCAGGTGGCACCCAAGCCTGCTAAGCAAAGTGAGGACAGCCCCACCCTACCCTGGAACCGAGGGCTGGCTGACAGCCCAGCTTGAAGGAAGTTGCCCCCACACCCAACTTCCAGGAGCCATTAGCTTAGCCAAGTGCCCCCAACCCTGGCCAGCCCCTCAGCCTGGAGAAGTGAGGCTTGGCTGAACTGTACAACTCCGGTGCCCTACCCCCATCACTCCCTGGCTTCACTAACTCTCAGGAATGGGCCTGAGGCACCCCTGGTATGAGTAGAAAGGACTGACCTGGGCCCCAGCAGTTATAGCCGCCCCTTCAAGTAGAAGCTACCCTCATTTTCTTCCCCAGCTTCTTTTATGCCTGACCCCCAGCTGTCTGTCTCTATCTATGCAAAATCCTGCCCTCCTAGAACCCAGCCACTATCCCAGGCACCTGTAGAACCTGGAGGTAGTGAGATGGCTCTGTCCGGCTAGGTGCCTGGGTACTGTATTTACTGTATGCTAAAATGTGCCTTTACCTCCCACAGATATGATCAGCCAGCGCTCAGCAGGTGGCCACCCTGGCTCAGGCTCACAACTGGGCACTGGCCGAGGGACCCTTCGGCTCCGATCCCGGGGCCCTGCCACAGTGGAGGATCTGGTGAGTGAGCCACCTTGGGCCAGTGTCAGTCTCCTGATTACCTGAGGGACTGTGGATACCTTTGCTTAAATCTACCTTCTCCCAGCTTTGGGACCTTCCTTGGGCAACTGAGCCTTGGTTTTCCTGCCTGTAAAATAGGAGTCATAGTACCTTCCAGTCAGAGTGGACTGTGGTGAGACAGATGAGAGCACAGCCAGGCATGTACTTTTAGGCAGGAGGATTTCACGTTCAAGCAGCTGAAGCCAGAAAGAAAACCTGTGACCAGCAGCCCAGCATGAGCATGCACCTGTGGTCCTAGCCACCTGGGGGCTGAGGTAGGGTTTAGTGTTCACAGCCGGAGACAGGTCTGCATTATAGAGCAATGTGGCCCTTTCAGAGAGAGGACCCAGGTTCAGTTCCAAGTACCCATATTAGGTGGCTTAAAACCATCTGTTAACTCCAGTTCCAGGGGTCCGGTGTCTTCTTCTTATCTCTACAGGTACCAGGCACACACGTAATCCACAAACATATGTGCAGGCAAAACACTCCTACACGTAAAATAAATAAATGTTGAAAAACGCAGTACCTCTGGGTATTGGTAGAGCTGTTGGCCAGCAGAGCCCCTGGGTGCTGCCCCCAGCACTCAGGCACTCAGTGTGTACAACAGCAGTTCTGTTGACTTTATCGTGCTGTCTTGTCCCCATCCTCCAGCCATCGGCTTTTGAGGAAAAGGCCATTGAGAAGGTGGACGACCTGCTGGAGAGCTACATGGGGATCAGAGACACAGAACTGGGTGAGTGTGGGCACCTGTGCTTGGATGATAGGAGCAGGCTGACTTGAGCCTGTACCTCTCTGTCCTTCATGTCATCGGTGCCTCCATCTTTCTCTTCCCTGACAGCTGCCACCATGGTGGAGCTGGGAAAAGACAAACGGAACCCAGACGAACTGGCAGAGGCCCTGGATGAACGGCTTGGTGACTTTGCATTCCCGGATGAATTCGTCTTTGATGTCTGGGGAGCCATCGGGGATGCCAAGGTTGGCCGCTACTAAGACTGGAACTGAACCTGGACCTTGAGATAGCCTGGGCTTGGCCTGGCTGAGGCTTCCAGAAGGGGTGCCACAGCCAAGACCTGAGTATCCAGCTTAGGCACTAACTCAGCAGCCTGGGGATGGCATGGGGTGGAAGTGGCCTGTGGTCCTGGCCCCACTCCAATCAGTGCCACTACGGTGCCCAGCCTGGTTGGGGTCCCCGGCAAACCCCTGCCAGCTTCCCCACCTACCTCAATAGAGTAAGTGCATGGGAGGGACCAACACTCCGGGTAGCCACCTCTGTCCCCAGCACTTTCCACCATCAGCTGGCAAAACTGCCCCTTCTGTCTCCCTGGCCTCAGTTCTCTTCTGTATCAGTTCTCTCATGTATCCTCCATGCTTTTCTTTTTTGCTTTGTTTTTTTCAAGACAGAGTCATTCTGATGCTCCAGCTGTCCTGGAACTCACTGTGTAGACCAGGCTGGCCTTGAACGCACAGAGATCCACCAGCCTCTACCTTCCCAATGCTGGGATTAAAGGTGTGCTCCACCACTCCTGGCTCTCCCTACTTCCTTGACACCAGAAATGCAGAAATGCACAACACCCCTTAGTAAAGGCAGTAGTACCTTCCCCTTTGGCATATCCCACCAGAGAGGAGTTGAATTTGTTAGCTCCCATTGGAGTGGACACTGGCTGTGAACCCTCGTTCCTCGTCATCTCCCTTAGACAAGCAAGAGGGAGGGTGAGCAAGGCAGTGGGCTTTCGTATCCACACAGACTCTTGGAGATTCTACTCCGGGAGCTGTTTGGCCTTGGGGTTGGAGGGGTGGCCGGGGAAAGAATGCAGCAGCTGAAATCTATCTCCTGGATTCCAAATTGAATTAGGAGTTGGCTGACTCGCTGCCCCCTCCCCCTGGCTGTAGGCCATCAAGCTTCCAGGCAATGGTGGAGTTTCTGGCTTACTTTGAGGTTCAGACCTGGTTCCCCATTCACAAGGCCTCCCATGCCCCTCTTGTACACCTAACTACTCCTCTGTGGGCAGCAATGCCTGGTGCCCTGTTGCAGCACGCTGGTTGAAGCTGCTTGTACACAGGGCACAGGCATCATGGCACAGTGCTCCACAGGGATATAAACCTGCCAAGCTTGTTTTGACAGTCCACTTTGTCCCAGGATTTAGGGAGATCAAGGAAAGGGTGGGGTGGGACCCTGGCCAGACCTGGGGAGAAGGGAGGCCATTGGAACAAGGGGAGCCTGGCCAGAGGTCCCTCTCCAGCGCCCAGGAGGAATGTTTGGGGGTGAGCCCTGCGGAGATGCTGCAGAAAGGCTGAGTGGGCTGGCTCTCTGGTTCCAGGCAGGAGATAAGAATCTGGATACGGGATATTTGCATGCACAAGCCCTACAGACATCCACTGTCAGGGTGACTTGCCAGCCCTGATGGCTATGCCCGTTTTTTAGTGCTGATAGTGGAACCCATGGCATCACACGTGCTAGGAATGCACTCTGTCACTGAGCTCGGCCCCAAGTCCTACATTGGGGTCTTGCACACCTAATGGAAGCAGCTGGGAATGTGTGGCTTTGCTGGGTGGAACTGTGTAAGTGGATGGTTGGGAACTGAGCAGAACCAGGGCTGTGACTATTGTAAGCCTGGGGTCCCTGAGTTTCAGGGAGCTGTGTCCAATGCGTGCATGGCTCTCAGCTGTATTCTTGTTTGGGGATCAGGATAAACAGTCAGGCCTTAGAGTGTCTGAGATGTGATTGTGTGGCTCAGGTGGGACAAGGTCTGGGTGTCCATGGGCATTGGTTTGGGGGAACTATCATCAGGAGGCGTGCCCTGGGACTGGGAACAGACTTACAGTGCCAGTGAGATTTATACCTGGTGCTAAGGTGTGGGTGAGCATCAATTTCAAGGGGCCTGGATTTGGAGGGAGTAGACAGTACAGTCAGCATTGATGGGTACTATCCAGTGTTTACTTGTTATCATAACTGCTCTGACAGTGTCTGCATGTGCCCCTTTTCAACACACAGGGTGCAACATTAGACTCGTGCCCTACAGATTGCTTACCCCACCTGAAGACAGGATGCAGATGCTACCCTAACCCCCTGAGCTATTCAGCCACCTCCCTTTCTCCTAGGATGACTGACTCCTTGTTGCCCTAGTCTAGGCTTCCCACCTCCACCCCAATGTGACAGTCACAAAGGTTTGAGGGTGGGCAGCATTGCTGGCTCCCATCACACCCAGGCAGCTCCCAAACCCTTAAGCCCAATGAGGACAGCCCCCACCCCCCCTCACGGGAGTGGGTAGCCCTCCCAGCCTGCCCCAGGCGATGCTCACATTTTCCAGTGTTTAGATTTTATCCGCTTTATTAATGAGGCAGGCAAGAGGCCCGGGTGAGGGGGGGGGGTTGCTCCTGCCCCGCTGAGAGGAGGGGGTCACAAGAGACCAGACCAATTCAGAGAACCTCAGTCCTTGGTGGGAAGGAGCTGGGCTTAGTTGCCCTGATCATTACCGGCAGCAGAGATTTTGCCCACTTCAGGCTTCCATCCCCAGAGGGCAGGCATGCGTGGGGTGGAGCAGCCCCTGGAGGCCAGTGGGGTGCGGGTGGAGGCGGCACGGAACCGAGGAGCCGCCCCAGGAAGAGGGAGCGGCCTGCCGGGAGCCAGGGAGTAGCTGGAGCGGGCAGCAGGAGCCAAGTTCCGGGCCATGGGGACCCTCATCCTGAGCAGCCCTGGGTAAGAAGCTGGGACTCTTCAGGGGGGCTACAGCCATCCTGCTCTCCTTCATGGCTCTCAGCCCTAGGCTTTCTATCCTTTACATCTGCTTTAGCCCTCTCAACTGGAGAATGAACGGCAAGGGCAGACAGGTTCAGACAGGGGCATGGGATGGGCATCTGAATGAGGCAGTTCCAGACTGATGAGAGATCGCCATCGAGACAGAGATGGGACTCCAGGAAAGAAGTGGGCCCACGGGGTCTGAGAGCACCAGAGAGATGAGAGATGGGTCTATTACAGCAAAGGTCTGTGGGGAGATGAGATGCGGCTACAGGGCACAGAGGCCCTGTGGCACAAGAATGGGTCTGTAGGTATGGAGAAGAGCTGTTGGGGAAGAGGTGAAACCAGCTCGAGTGGGTCTCTGGAGACGGACATGGCCATTGGAAAAGATGAGCTAATGTATTTGAGATAGTGGGACTTGGACATCAAAGATAGGATTAAAAGGTGACCAAAGCTGGTCATGGTGGTGTGAGCCTTTAATCCCAGGACACGGGAGGCATAGGCAGGTGGAGCTTAAAGCTATCCTGGTCTACACAGCCAGTTCCAGGACCAGCCAAGGAGATTTCCAAAAAGAATGACGGCGGGCAAACGCGGTGAAGGTTGGAATTGGGATCAGAAGTGGGTCAGGGTCCATGGACCAGGAATCTGATGTGCTAGAGGGTGGGGTAGGGATGAGGACAAATACTAGGGACCTGTGCCAGGTCAAATCCCCCCCAGCAGCCAGGTGATGTGAGGGCAGAGTGAAGCCAGGAGCAACAGATGGGTGCCAGTGACTGAAGTAGGATTTTTAAAAAGAGCAGCCAGGGTCGTGTAGAAGTGCCCTGGGCACAGAAGGGTGGGACCCTAGCTTCACTGTGCCCTCCTCTTATCTACGCAGCCCTCTTGGCCACTGATATGAGCCCCTGCGGGCTTAACCTGAGCCTAGTGGATGAGGCGACGTGTGCAACACCCAGAGTCCCCAACACATCTGTGGTGCTGCCAGCAGGCGATTCTGGCACATCACCAGCACTGCCCATCTTCTCCATGACACTGGGTGCTGTGTCCAACGTGCTGGCACTGGCGCTGCTGGCCCAGGTTGCAGGCCGTCTGCGGCGCCGCCGCTCGGCTGCCACCTTCCTATTGTTCGTTGCCAGCCTGCTGGCCATCGACCTGGCAGGCCATGTGATCCCGGGTGCCCTGGTGCTTCGCCTGTATGCTGCAGGACGTGCGCCTGCTGGCGGGGCCTGTCATTTCCTGGGCGGCTGCATGGTCTTCTTTGGCCTGTGCCCACTTTTGCTTGGCTGTGGTATGGCTGTGGAGCGCTGCGTGGGCGTCACGCAGCCGCTACTCCACGCGGCGCGTGTGTCGGTTGCCCGTGCACGCCTGGCGTTAGCCATGCTGGCCGCCATGGCTTTGGCAGTGGCGCTGCTGCCGCTAGCACACGTGGGTCGCTACGAGCTACAGTACCCTGGCACCTGGTGTTTCATTAGCCTTGGGCCTCGTGGAGGTTGGCGCCAGGCGCTGCTTGCCGGCCTCTTCGCTGGTCTTGGCCTGGCCGCACTCCTTGCCGCACTCGTGTGCAATACGCTCAGCGGCCTGGCGCTCCTGCGTGCCCGCTGGAGGCGTAGCCGTTCTCGACGTTTCCGAGAGACCACCGGTCCGGATGATCGCCGGCGCTGGGGCTCACGTGGACCCCGCTTGGCCTCCGCCTCGTCTGCCTCATCCATTGCTTCAGCCTCCGCCACCCTCCGCAGCTCTCGGGGCGGTGGCTCGGCGAGGAGAGTTCACGCGCACGACGTGGAAATGGTGGGCCAGCTCGTGGGCATCATGGTGGTGTCGTGCATCTGCTGGAGCCCCCTGCTGGTGAGGGGCGCAGTCGCTCCTCAAGCCGCCCTCCTTCCTGTCCCCTCCTGGGCTCCGCCCCACTTAAGACCCAGCCTGCAGACAAAGACAACTCCTCTGCTGTCCCTGGCCCTTACCTCCACCCTCTTTGAGATCTCTGTAATGACTCCTACCTACTCAAGCCTCTCCAGTCCACTTTCCACCCTCCTCTGCTTCATTTATTCACAGTCTTTTTCCCCAGCCTTTTGACGTTTCTTGTGTGTTTGGATACTGGGTCCTGTCTAGCCAGACTCCACACTCACTGATGACCTTTACTTAATCACTCTCCTTCCCGCACTCTCCTTCCCGTATTTGTCCTGCTTGGCCCTCCCCCACATCCTAACCTTTCACCCCACCCTTCTCTCCCACCCGCTCCACTTCTCACACCTGCTTTTCTCGCAGGTGTTGGTGGTGTTGGCCGTCGGGGGCTGGAACTCTAGCTCCCTGCAGCGGCCGCTCTTTCTGGCTGTGCGCCTCGCGTCGTGGAACCAGATCCTGGACCCTTGGGTGTACATCCTGCTGCGCCAGGCCATGCTGCGCCAACTGCTTCGCCTCCTACCCATGAGGGCCGGTGCCAAGGGTGGCTCAACGGAGCTGGGCTTAACCAAGAGTGCTTGGGAGGCCAGTTCACTGCGTAGTTCCCGGCACAGTGCCTTTAGCCATCTCTGAATGTGCCCAGAAGCTAAGCCAGACCTCTCTGGGCAGGGCTCAAGGGCATACAGTTTCAAATACAGTGTGCCCAGGGCGATGTGTCCTGGAGGGCAGCAACACTGTGGCAGCACAGGGACCAACCACCCTGGGACGAGTGTAATTCTAATGCTGGCCACGAGATGGCGCAGATACATGGGATGCTCCAAATATCAGAGGTGGGCTCCCCAGTCCTGCCCCAATAAGTCTGCCCCCTTAGCTTGGGGCTCCCTGCAAGCAGAGTGAGGTCCTGGATTCACTTTCCCGTCTCTGCCGCCACCACAACAGACTCTTGCAACCATTCTGCTCATTTTGCTCCCTAGCTAGCCCAAGAATCTCAACACCCTGTACCCGTAACAGCCCTAAAAACCCAACGCTCCCCAACACAGTCCTGAGCCCAGTCCTCGCTCCCCACTACTGCAAGTTCCCATGTTAACCTTTCAAATAAGCCCCATCACAGTCCTGCCCCAATAAGTCTGCCTGCCTCTGTCACCTACTCCAAGCACGCCCCACCCCAGATTGCACACAGAGGCTGAAAATGCATGTTAGGGGTAAACCCCAAAGGCTTTTTTAAAAACCAAGAACTCTTGGGCAAGGCAGGGGCTTGGGGCTAGTAGCCTCCCGCCACAAAATCGAAATCCCGGAAAGCAGCCTGCTCTGCAGCTGTGAGGGGTCGCGCATCCCGGGGTGGGCTCAGTGTGGGGGCCTCCCCAGTGAACTCCTCATCAAAGTTGCTGACATCTGTACGCCCCGAAAGCGTAGGCACAAAGGGTGGAGGCAGTCGACGGGCCAGCAGGTCTTCCCAGCCCAGAGTCTGTGGAGAAGGGGACAGAAAGTCATGATGGAGGCTGAGGGGTCTGAAGGGAAACCTGGAGATCAGCAAAGTAGACAGGATACGGAGGGACTGGGAGCTCAGACAAGTTAAGGTAGTCTGGGGTGGTCCAGGAAGCCCTGCAGACTGACATGGCCTAGAGAAGCAGTTGGAGGAATGAGTAAGGCTGGGGGCGGGCGCAACAAAACTCTTGAGATGAAGCAACTAGATTTGGGGTAGGAATGAACTGGGACAAACACTCAGGTCCTTGGGGTGACTGACAGGTTCAGAGGGGGTCTGCTCACCCTGAAGAAAGGTTGTTTTTTCACATCTTCTGCATCCCGCTCAGTGGATCCCAACCTCCGCTCTGGGTTTCTTCGCAGTAGCTGTGAGAGGGTACAGTGTCAAAATGTATCTGTTCTAGTCCCCAGGCCCCTGCCCAGCCTACCTTGCACAAGGTGATAGAGTGGTCAGAGGCATGCTTACCCTTCTCATGATGCCAATGGCCTCTGCTGACAGGAAGCGGGGATAGCGAACCTCATCGTTGACGATGCTGTCAAATACCTCCTCCTCGTCGTCCCCAGGGAATGGAGACTGGGGACAGAAAGGGCCAGGCTGAGTAAGATTCCACTTTTTAGCCAATCCACCCATCCAGCACTGCCAAAGGGCCCCCGCCCTCAGGGAGCACCGTGCAGTAGTGCTGGTTTTCAGGGTAAGTAGCTGCTTACAGTTACAGAAACTGAGGCCAGAGAGGCATAGCTCCAGATCATACAGCATGTGGTAGGAGCACATTCCCATCCCATCCGGGGACTCATGTCCTCAGAAACTACAGTAGCCTGCATCTCACCTCTCCAACCAGCATCTCATAGAGCAACACGCCCAGTCCCCACCAGTCCACTGCGCGTGTGTAGGATGTGTCTGTCAGCACTTCCGGCGCCAGGAACTCCGGAGTTCCACAGAATGTGCTAGTCCGGTCCCCATAACCCATCCCTGGGTAGGTGGAGAACAAGCCCACATGAGCCTAAGGTGGCTAGGGGAGTAGAGCATGAGATACTCCCAATAGCCAGCCCTACCCCGAATCAGTATGGAGTGACCCAGGTGGGGCTAAGGCCGGTGAACTACCCTGAAGCTGTTAGGGTGAGCAGGTAGCTGCAAGCAAAGCCCACAGAGAAGAAAATGTCATCTGACCACCTAGGTACAGCTGCACCAGAAGTAGCCCACCCCCTATTCCTCTCATCCCAGGCAGCCCCTCACCCTCCTTGCAGAGGCCAAAATCTGCGATCTTGACGTAGCCCTCAGTATCCAGGAGCAAATTGTCCAACTTCAGGTCCCTGGGGAATGGGGGTGTCAGGGGATGTAAAGAGGGTGGGTGGGGTAGGGAACAGGGCTTTGCATAGAGCTTGAACATGTCAGACTATGGGTGTACACACCTGTAGACAATCTTGTGTTCATGGAGGAACTGCAGGCCCAGCACCACACAGGCTGAATAGAAGCTGCAGAGACGCATAAGATCACACAAACCTGGCTCCACAGGCACCAAAGTCCCTGACCCCTGGGGTCCCAAAGCTGTGCAGGAGGCAGGCCTCAGGGTGGAGGGCGGGGCCTCAGGTGGGCAGGAAGAGGCATGGGGGGACTCACACAGCCCGAGGCTCTGAGAACACATCACTGTGGATGTGCAGCATCAGGTCCCCACCCGCGGAGTACTCCATCACAAAGCACACGTGCTCTGGGGTCTGGAAACAGCCGAAAAGGTTCACCAGGAAGGGATGTCCTGCCCTGGTCACAGCCGCCAAAATCCGCTTCTCACACATCAGGCTGGGCAGGAGGAAGAAGTCAGAGAGCCCAGCTGCCCCGTGCCCCTACGCCCATGCCCTCTGGGGCTCACTCACAGATGTCTGCTGAGTTGCATTGCTGTGCAACTTTGGGCAACTGAATTAATTTCTCTTGTTTTGGGTAGCCTTGGTTGCTAAATACCCAGACTCAACCCAGTGTCTTTTGGGAAATGGGGAGGGCACAAGGCTGAGGATCACAGCAGTCAAGTCTGTGCTGGGGAACCGGCAGGCCTATTAAACAGGGCGCATGAGGACGGATGCAGGAGGAGATGGGACCTGATCTCTGGTGTGGAGAGGCTTCCCTGTCTGTGAAGACTGCAAGCACATCCCACAGAGGAACACAACCAGCAGCACCCAAGCACCCGGACACAGTGGCACCTTAAGGCAGACACAACTGGGCTTCTCTGGCTCAGATCAATAAATAAGCTCTTACTTATTCAAGCTCTTGTTACTTATTAAAGCTTCTGGTTATTAAAAAGGTGGCTGGGAAGTCTAGGGACAGCCTGATGCTTCCATAGAGATCAAGAAGGCCTGTGAAGTACACTTTAAACAGACCTTCCTCCTTGGTCTGCCAGACAATCCTAGGCGGATGGCAAATCCATGAGCGCCTGACAGATGAGGAAACTGCATTCTAAGGGAAGCCTGCCTTCCCCAGCATCTGGAAGCACAGCTGTCAGAGGCATGATTTTAACATGAGACCTGATCCCAAAACTGGGGCAGTCCCATGTCCTACATTTGAGTGCTGAACCTCCTGCTTATGACCATGTGACCTCAAACAGACTGTTAAAGGATGAGCAGGATGGGGAACAGTCTGAGTATTCACTCTAGAAAGGGAGAGGTGGTCACAGATGAATCACAATAACTACCTCCACAGTCATTGCCCTTAGGTAAGAGGGTTGTTAAGTTCTAGTACTTCTGAGTTCCTCTCACTGAAATGCTTGACAGTGAACTATTCTTGGTCTGCTTACCAAAAATCCCCAAGAATCAGGGCAGGGCCTCACCTCTCCACCTCGTCCCGGGCTACAATGTCACCTTTCTTCAAGGCTTTGATGGCAAAGAGCTCCCCACTGGAGCGAAATTCAGACAGCAGCACCTGGCACACAGTGGGCACAGGGCCTTAGTGGACAGACTAGGCCCTTGGGGGAAAACTCCCAGCCCCTAAATCCTTCCCCTGCCTCACCTTCCCAAAGTGACCCCGGCCTAGCACTGCCAGAAACTTGAAGTCCTCAAGTGTCAGGGGAGACTTCCTCAGGGGGCTGTGAAGAAAGAGCTTGTGGGGACTCAGAGGGCGTGCAGGGGTGCAGGTGGGGGCTGGGGGGGGCATCACCTGCATAGGCCAGGGCCTGGGGTCTCCTGGGTCTCTGAAGGCAGCTCTGGAGAGGTGGTGGATTCGTGGGTAGGAGAACTCTGTGGTGCAGAGGTCACAGGAGCCATAAGTCAGAGCTGTCTACCCCAAGAGCCAAGAGGGCCCTGAGCCTCACACCACCTTCCCACCTGGCCCACACCCTCCTCCCCAGGACCTTCTTCTTAAATTACTTTGCCTTCACATTTACAAGACTTTTTTCTTTTCTTTTCTTTTCTTTCTTTCTTTCTTTCTTTCTTTCTTTCTTTTTCTTTCTTTCTCTGTAGGACTAGAGATAGCCCTGGGCCATAACGCATAACCTCCAACACTGTTTCACTTTCTTTGAGTAGGCTCTCCCCAAATTGCCCAGACTATCTTGAACTTGTGACCCTTCTGCCTCCACCTGCCAGGTAGCTTGGACCCAAGGCTTGCATCACCAGGCCCAGCTCTCCCTCCTTCTGTCACCTTTTCTTTAGATGTTACCTGTGCAGGCATCACTACGCCTGCATTGGAGCACAAAGCCCCTTAGCACACCCTGTCCATCTTCGCTTCATTTTCCTCCCAGTAAACTTCATATTCAAATATCTTTTTGTCTGCTCATTATATTTACTGGTTTTCACCTGGACAGACTGATGGACTGATTGATTTATAATACTAGGCATGGAGTGGACCCCGGGACCTCACATGTTCGCTCTGCTACAGAGCTTTGTCCCAACCTAGCCATGTCACATGAGCATATGACTGAAAAGAATCAGGGACAGGGGCAGCCTTCAGCATGGCTCAGGAAAAGGAAAGATGCTTACTACACCAAGCCTGGTAACCTGAGGTAGATCTCTGGGACACACTAGGTGGAAGGAGAGAATCAATTCCTGCAAGTTGTCCTCTGAGCTCCACACACTTGTGAGGTATAACCCAAGTGTACCCTCCAAAACAACACCACCAAACACAAACACATAAATGAAAAATAGGAGGAGGCTCTGAGGGTGCAGCTCAGTGGCACAGCACTGAGCTATGTGAGACCTTGGGTTCCACCTTCCATCCCTCCTCCAAATGGAAAGAAGGTGACAAGTAGGCACTCCAGGCAGGCACGGTAGTACACAACCTCAGCACTTAGCAGCGTGAAAACTGGGCCAACAGCACGGCTTTGTGGGTAAAGGCTCTTGCTGCCAAGCCTGGCAACTCGAGTTTGAGCTTTGGGAACCACAGAGTGGAAGGAGAGAACTGACTCCTGCGAGTCGTTCTCTGACCTCCACATAAGTGCCTATATACTCACAAAAATAAATAGAAAGGCAATAAAAAGAAGCCAGGCATAGCAGCACACGCCTTTAATCCTAGCACTCAGGAGAGAGACGGCAGTATCTGTGATTTCAAGTTTGGTCTACATAGTGAGTTCCAGGGTAGCCAGAGCAACATAGAGACCCTGTCTCAAATAAACAGGTGTGTGTGGGGCGGGGTGCATGAATAAATATAAAAGGAAAAGAAAAGGAAAATTGCATTTGGTGAAGGTGACAAAGGGTCAGCCCCTTTACACTCACACCTGACACCAGCAGAGGCTGACTCTCAATGGACAGCAGTTAGATACCCACCAGAGCCAGAATGGTTGGAGGGAAAAAGAAAAGGTGTCTGGTAACACACGTAAGTTCTACCCACAACATTCCTACCATGTGATCAATAGTAGTATCTTCCTTGGCTGCGACTGCTTACCCATGCAGCACTCATCAGGCTCACAGACCTTGACTTTTAAAAAACACCTATCACCACAGAACTAGAGGAAGGTCCTGACATCCCCACCCCCATTTCATTTGGTAACCCCTATCAATAGAGCAACACAATTTGTTCTTGAAATAAATTGTTTGGAACAGCTCTCTAACTAAACTTAAGAGAAGCTCAACAAGAGAAAACCATGCCAGGTACTGGAAAGCTAGCCAGCTGCCTAGGGCTAGAGTGTGGGTCATGGAGGTGAGCCTACAGCCAGCATGACTATAGCAGCATAGTCCCAAACATCCTAAATGTCCTTACACCAGTGCTTCTCAACCTGTGGGTCACGGCGGCTTGGGGGATGGGGCTGAAACCATTTCACAGGGGCCACCTAAGACCATCACAGATATCTACATTATAATTCATAACAGTAGCAAAATTATAGTTACAAAGTAGCAACAAAAATAATTTTATGGTTGGGGTCACCACAACCTGAGGAACAGTATTAAAGAAGGAACTGCATTAGGAAGCTTGAGAACCATTGTCTTATACCCACAGAAAAAAGTGGTCCTCATCCATCATTAAGAAAACTTCTCTAGGGCTGGAGAGATGGCTCAGCGGTTAAGAAAACCTCTCTTTGCTACAGATGGAGACCATGACAGAAAACCACAATCAATCAAAATGCAGAAGTGTGGAGCTCAGTTCCAATGGATCTATCCACAAAATGCCCCATACCTAAGGCTCAGAAAACATTCTGGAATAGGAAGAGTTGTGGAACAACTACTGGAAGCAGAGGATTCGGGAGTTTGCTGTGAGACTGTGTGTCCTACAGGTGTCAGAAGCTACAGCAGTCTCAACAGCATGACTGCCCAAATGTGAGCTGAACAAGGACAATAACAATTGACATGCCAGAGTGGCTGGAAAAGCCCACGAGGCCCCAACCCTTCTAACAGGACTACAGCCAACTGAAGTGTGCCGACAGTGAGAGAAATAGTCTTCCCAAAAAAAGAGCACACTAGCTGGTTATCCAACGTTAAATGGCCAGCCTTGAAAACATATAGAAAAGTGATGTTATACAGATTGAGCAGGATGTATTTAGGAATATATAAATATTTGCACAATCATAAATGTATACAATAGCAATTAATGAAAAAAAACCAGGCCATTAATTTGGCAGAGAGCAAGAAGGGGTCTACTGGGGGATTTGGAGGGAGAAAAGGTATATTATAATCTCAAAAATAAAAGAAAAGCATTCTCCATCCCCACAAAATCTGCTACATAGCCAAGAATGACCTTCAGGTCCTGATCCTCCTGCCTTGGCCTCCCAGTGCAGGGACCACGGCCAGGCACTTTCCTGCCCTCTTTTCACCAGCTTTCTTTTCTTTTCTTTTCTTTTCTTTTCTTTTCTTTTCTTTTCTTTTCTTTTCTTTTCTTTCCTCCCTTCCTTTTCTTCCTTCCTCCTCCTCCTTCTTCTTTTCTTCAGTCTAGGATGAAACCCAGAGCTGCACACACTACTCAAGAGCTCTGCTAGTGAGTAAACCTTTAGTCCCCAAGTGAACATCCCCTCTAGCTTTGTTTCTGAGACAGGGTTTGGATGTGTATCCCAAGCTGGCCTAGAACTTACTATGTAGCTGGACTTGTGGTGAGCACCCTGCCTCAGCCACTCCACTGCTGGGGTGATATGTTCAATGTTGCTGGCCCAGCTTCCAAGCTGACATTTTTAAGCAGGGACAGGAACCAGCTGAGGTGCTGGGGACATAGTTTAGTTGGCAGAATACTTGCCTAGCATGCAGAAAGCTCTGGATTTCACTGGTACCCTATAAGCCAGTCATAGTAATCCCAACACTCAGGGGACGAAGGCAGGAGGATCAGGAGTTCAAGAGTTCAAAGGCTGAAACTACTGAACAAAACAAAAGAACAAAAAGCCTGGGTCTGCTGTGTGGTCCTGGGTTAGTTCCTGGAGGTTTCTGAAAAAGAAGCAGGTGCCCTAGGCTGCCCTGGCTAGTGGAGGGGGGACACTCACCAGGCTACCTGAGATGGAAGGCAGCCCCAGCGGGCTCTTCTGGGATGAGCTGTCTGAGTCAGCACCGAGATTCAATTTCTCCATGGATATGTCTCTGCAGGAGAGGGGGATGAGTTGGAGACCTAGCATCCTGAGAAACAAGAGGGACTGGCGAGACTGGGGCCATGCTACTTCCTTACCCAGTGTGCCGTATCTCGGAGCCTGGAGATGCGTTGGGGCTGAAGGTGCCTGTGGCCGCAGCATTAGGGATGAGTCTCCGGAGCAGCCGCACCCACGTCGCCACATCGATGTTCATCTGCCTGGCACGCTGAAATGCCTTCCCTGGGGTTACAAGGGTAGGATCACCACCCATGACACCCTGGAATTCTTGGCTCTCCAACCCTGCTCACTCCAGCCACTCCTTACCTTGCTGCTTGGAGAAGATTTTTTTCTGCCTTTGGAGCCTAGGGATCCGCTCAATGATGGGATTGTGAAAGGTGACCTGTGGGGACACATTCAGCTGCAGTGGTCTCAGGAACAGAGGCACACAACCTGAGCACGGGGAACCAGGGCACCAGGCCTCCCTGAGGGCATGTGGCTTGGCTCTAGCAGCTATGTGCAAAGTTGAGCCTTCGGCAGTGACTATGCACAGGTCAGTGATCTCACTCATGGTTCACCTACTGATGGGTTCAGAGCCTGGCAGACTGCTGGGAACAGGGAAAGTTCACAAGGAAAGATGTCATCACAGGAAGGAGAGTGAGCACCAGCCACCAGACCTTTCCACTCCCCACCCCGTCATCCCCATCAGCCTGTGAGCAGCTCTGCTCCATGTCACACTTCACCGAAAGGCCAGAAGCAATGGGTGAAAAGGCTGTGATGCCTGAAACCAGGAACCCAAAGAAACCTGCTTCCTTTAAGTTTATTTCTCTCAAGTATTTTGTCAAGAAACAGAGAGCTGAATGCACATGGAAGAGGTGACTAATACAAGTCACTGAGGTATGCATTGCTCTGCTCCTCACTGGGACGAAGGACCTGACAGACCGCTGAAGGGGAAGGGCCGCTCTGGTGCAAGGCTTAGGGAACAGTCAGCCATGGGAGAAAGACATGGCAGTTCAGGCAGCACTCCACAGAGGCAGAACACCTGGAGCCCAGTCACACATCAGAGGACCAGGAGACAGAAAGCCAGCAGGACATAGGGCCTAAATATTGTCCTCTCCTGGTCTGTCCCCACATGTTCTTTCAGTGAAGGTCCACCTTCTGAGAGTTCTATACCCTCTCAAAAGAGCCACCAGCTGGGGAGCCCTCATGGGGGACTATAATAGTTACTGTTGGCTGCCAGCTTGACTAGACTCACTAGGATAGCAGCCTCCAAACACACTTGTGAGGATCACTGAAGGTGGTTATGCCTGATAGGGAAAGACCCACTGCAAGGCATCTCTCCCTAGATGGAACCCGGAGCAGGATAACAGGAGAAAGCAGACTGAGCAGCAGGCAGGCATCACTCTGCTTCCTGACTCACTTCCTAGGTACTGTGACACCACTCCTACTGCCTTGACCTCCTCACTATGATGGACTGTGAGCCAAAGAAACCCCTTTTTCCTTAAATTTGCTTTTGTTAGGGTACTTTACCACATTCATATTCAACACAACAGGCTTCTATCTTGGAAATGGAGGAAGCAGGCAATCCTTCCATCCTCTGGAGGGATGGAAGGAGTCTGGAGCAACAAGACTGACATGTAGGTCTAAAGAACAAGTCTCGCATCAACCACAGACTTGATCCCCAAGTGCAGTTCCAGGCTGGCCACCCTGTCACCATCAGGCTCTGCACTTAGGCTTAGCAGCCCCCAAATGGCCCTGTGTAGCCAAGATTTGGTTCCAAGCCTGTGGCTCTGTTTGGGAGGTGGTGTAACCTTTAGAGGTGGGTCCTAGTGGGAGGAAGTGAGGTACATCCTCATACAGGATATCAGGAGTCTAGCCCCTTCCTGTGTCTCTCTTTGCTTCTGCACTCCACTGGATGCACAGGCTTCCTACATTGTGCTGCTGGCATAACAGTAACGTACTGAGCTACAGGCCCAGATACACAGGGCTGAGGGACCATGGTCAGAAGCCATGGGCCAAAACAAACCATCCTCTTTCTAATTATTTCAGAGAGATGCCTCACATACCTGGGAACTTTGAGAACTATATTCTCAGGTCCCTATATTAGACTGAATCAGAAATATTAGGGATGGAGCCTGGCCCTTAGCTTCAGAAGTCCGGTGACGATGGAGCACCATATGGGGAAACCATGACGAATTAGCTTAGTGTTCCCAACTCCAACATCTACAGGCATTGAATTCCCTGTACAGTTGCCATATGTGGAGATCAAATTTTAAATTACTCAAAATTTCAGTGAGTTAAAAACTTTGATTTCCAGGGGCTGGAGAGATGGCTCAGAGTTAACTTAACTCTGCTCTTCCAGAGGTCCTGAGTTCAATTCCCAGCAACCACATGGTGGCTCATAACCATCTATAGTGAGATCTGGTGCCTTCTTCTGGCCTGTAAACATACATACAGGCAGAACACCGTATACATAAATAAATCTTGAAAAAAAAACACCCGAATAAACTTTGATCTCCACTTACACTAGTCACTCTTCAGACATAACATTCTAATCCACAGTGGAACTTAGAGATACTCTTCCCTCAGCCTCCCGAGTGCTAGGATTAAATGTGTGCACCACCACATCCAGCTTTTCTTTTCATTTTTGTTTGTTTTATTCAAGACAGGGTTTCTCTGTGTAGCTTTGGTTCTCCTAGAACTCATACTGTAGACCAGGCTGGCCTTGACCTCAGAGATTCACCTGAATCTGCTACTCCAGTGCTGGGATCAAAGCTGTGTACTACTACTGCCTGACTTTGATTTTGTTTTTGGTAAGTCTTTATATTCCTGGCCTCCTGCCATGTGGCTCGAGGTCATATGATACCTAGTTTTAGTGTCTGTTTATTTAATGTGTGTGGGTGTTTTGCCTGCATGTATGTCTGTGCAACACATATGTACCTAATGACCAAGATCAGAAGAGGGTGTTGCATCCCCTGGAACTTAAGTTACATACGGCTGTGAGTGGCTGTGTAGGTGCTAAGAATCAAACCCAGATCCCCTGGAAGAGCAGCCAGTGCTCTTAACTGCTGAGCCATTTCTCCAGTGCCCATACCTAGTGTTATCTGGAACTAGAAATGGGACCCAAGGCTTTGTGCATGCTAGACAAGCATTCCACCCACAGAGCCCTATCGCCAGATCAGAATGTAATCTGATGAGGCACAGCCTTGTGGGAACACTGTCACACATGCGGTTCATTACTGCTGAATCTTCCTTATGTGAGATGTGCGGCTCCTGGCACCAATCCCAGCTCTCATGAAGCTGACTTCCCATTAAGGCTCGGAAAACCTCTGAAGTTAATCTCCCCTTGCTGGACAGTCAGGGCAAGGAGGCAAGAAACATCTTGAGGTCAGAAGTCAGAGACCAGGCTGTACCTCAGCCACCAGGCAGCCCTGGGGTTCCATGTCCAGCTGCACCTCATGCCTCTCATTGTCCAAGAAGTCCTCCAACTTCAGAAATTTGAGTGCACACAGGCCCCTCTGGTCACGCCAGAACACAGCCAACTCCAGCTCCCGCGCCTCGAGGAAGAAGAATGGGCCATCACTTTGTGTGTCTGAAAGCTAAGCTCCCCTTCCTGTGTTCCGGATGGTCCCCAGCACGCTCACCCTCTCCAGCTCCAGCGTAAAGCTCTGGTCCCAGGCATTGGGGCCACATGGCTTCCAGGCTGTCTGCCCCACCACAGCGTTGTCCAGCTTGAGCACCGTGCTGACCTCAGCTGAAATCAGGAGAGGGCGTGGGAAGTGGAAGGGGCATGGGAAAGGGAAGGGGAGTGCTCGCTCCACTTCCTGTTAGCGCCTTTCAACTCCCCCACTGTTCTGCTAGCTCTCCTTTCACTGTAAAACCTTGAATTCAGATTGCAGGTTTGGGGAGAAGGGTTGTTCATGTGTGTGTTTTTTTCTTTTGGTTTTGAGATAGAATCTTACTCCAAAGACCAGCCTAGAACTTACTAGGCTAGAAACCAGACTGGCCTGGCTGCCTTCTGCCTTAGCCAGCCAAGCATTAGGATTATAAGCATGCACCACATGTCAGCCCCCAAGGGTGTGTTGTTTTGGTTTGGTTTGGTTTTCAAGACAGAGTTTCTCTGTGTAGTCTTGGCTGTCCTGGACTCACTTTGTAGACCAGGCTGACTTTGAACTTACAGTGATCTGCCTGCCTCTGCCTCCCCAAGTGCTGAGATTATAGGCGTGAGCCACGTTTTTGTTTTATGTTTTTAGAGAGTGTTTCATGTAGCCCAGGCTGGCCCTGAACTTCTAATCTTCCTGATTCTACCTTCTAATTTCTGGAAAGCTTGTATGACCACATCAGACAAGCATTTGGTTTGTTTGTTTTTGAGACGGAATCTTATGTAGCTCAGGCTGACCCTGGATACTGTTTTTAGGATCATTATGCACTTCTGACTGTCCTGCCTATACTTCCAAGCCTGCTGGGATTACAGGTGTGTGCTCCCATACCTGTTTTATGTGCTTGGCATCAAACTAAGGGGCTCATGGGTGCAAGGCATACACTCTGCCTCGCCTGTGCCCCCAGCCCGCTGGGCTCACTGCGAATCCATGGAGCCCAGCACATTCATATGTGTGCCCCACCAGGCCCGCTCATCTCCTTCATCTCAGATGGGTTCTGAGCTTTAGTTCGAGAAGATGAAAACATCGTTCCCTACTAAACACACTCCAGCCTCTGCCATCTGCCATTCTATTTCCTGTCTCCATGGGTCTGATGGCTCCAGGGCATGCTATAAGCAGAACCAGGCAGTCCTTGTCTCCTTGCAACTGCCTTTCCCCGTTTCCCACACTGTCCTCAGTGTTTATCTGTGCTATGGCATGGCACATGGCCTCCCCACTTCTAAGACTGATTCCTAATCCACTGTGTTCGTTAAATGCAATGTGCCAGTCCAGCCACAGCATAACTTCCCCTTCTTGCCATTGTGAATAATGCCACAAATTGGGTGTCTACCGACTCAGACCCTCACTCAGTTCTTTGATGGATATGCAGAAGCTGAACTGCTAGGTCGTGTGGTTAGTGCTAATTTCCCCTCTATCTTTGCTAGGCTTAGGATGGAACCGAGGTCTCAAATATACTTGGCAAGTATTCTACCCCTAACCAGTGACTCCATCCCCTCACATTCTAGACAGATGCTCTACCACTGAGCCATGCTCTAGCCATTCACTGGGGGATTCTAAGCAGCTCTTTCTCATTTTGACCATCTCCCTTTACATTCCCACACCCATGTAAAGATTCCATTTTCTCTACATCCTCTGTTACATTTGTGAGGTTTTTGTTTGTTTGTTTGTCTTGTTATTGTTTTGGTAAGTCATCACAATGAATGTCACATAGTTTTGTTTTGTTTTGTTTTGTTTTTGAGACAGGGTTTCTCTGTGTATCCTTGGCTGTCCTGGACTCACTTTGGAGACCAGAGATCTGCTTGCTGCCGCCTTTCCAAGTGCTGGGATTACAGGCGTGTGCCTCTGCTCCCAGATCATATTTTTTTATTTTATGTATTCATTTCAATTTTTATTTAATTTTATTTTTATGTGTATGTATGGTTTACATGCATGTATGTATATATACTAGGTGTGTGCCTGGTACCTGCAGAGATCAGAAGAGGGTGTCAGATTGCCTAGAACTAGAGTTATGGATGGCTGTGAGCAGCTATGTGAGCTGTAGGAATCAAACCTCACATCTTCGCGAGCAGCAAGCGCTCTTAACTGCTGAGCCCCTAATTTTTCTTTTTTGATTATGTGTGTGAGAGAGTGGACATGGGTATAGTGACCAGGAAGGTCAGAAGAGGGTCTCAGATCCCCTGAAACTGCAGTGATAGCAGTTAAGAGACACCTGATGTGGATTGGGGTCCTCAGCCAGCTCAGTACATACTTGTAACTGCTGAGTCCTTGCTCTCATACAATGTTTAAATAGCACAACAGCCAGATCCCTATGATCCCTACGATCCCAGCTTAGTCAGTTGGCTGAAGCAGGAGGATCACTTATGTGCAGAGTTTGAGGGCAGCCTGGGCAACATAGTAAAAGCTTGGCTTTAAATAAATAAGCAAATAGACAAATCAACAAAGAAAATGCTACAAATGTAGCCAATCTACCCACTTACCCACTCCTCCCCATTCTCAGCTTCCCTCCTGACTACCCACCCCCCCCCACTCAAGTTCTCAGCCTCCCCCGCCCAGCCGCCCACCCACTCACTTGAGTTCTCAGCCTCCCCCGACCTGCCCATCCACCCACTCACCTGAGTTTTAGCCTCCCCCGACCACCCGCTCACCCACCCACTCACCTGAGGTCTCAGCCTCCCCCCTCAGGCTGCTCCGTCCGCTAAGGCTTCCACTTCGGCTGTAAAGCCCCCGAGCTGGGCGGCTTAGGAAAGGGGTACGGCCGTCAGGGGTCCCAGATGCCCCCACCGAGGGGGAAGGGTTCCAGGGGATGGTCTCTGGAAGGTTCCTACAGCCCACCACTCGTACTTCCAGGGTCCCTGCAGGAGGGGCAGGCTCATGGAAGGCAAGCTGAGGAGATAGGTCAGCAGGGAGGGGCCTCTCCTCTTCCTAGCGGCAGCTGAGAAAGGGCAGCCAACGGGGGCTTTGATGCGGTGTCAGAGTATAAGTCTAAGGAAGTTCAGGGTACTGAAATTTTGAGAGAGCGAGACATTCAGAGCAACCAAAGGCAAGAACTAAGAAGAGAGTAGGATGGGGGTGGTTTGCTAAGATTTGATGAATTGTAATGGGCTGTAGAGAAAGGTACAAAGCAGGGCCAGGGAGGATAGGTGGGACAACAGTCTAGAATCACAACAGAGCAAGAAGATGGGGGTTGCTTGGCTGGCACTGATGGTAATGTGGACCGGGATAGGACCGGGAAGGAGGCAACAGATAGGCTGCGTTGAAGGCTGGGGAGCCTGGAGACCCAGTTATGTGGTCTCAGAGCTAGGTCCCCCGGGGTGTGCTCAGTCTGGAGTCTACCTGTGAGTGGTGCAGGCTTGCTCAAGGTGCTGTAGTGTGTGGCTGGGAAGGGCCCAGGCAGTATGGTGCTGAAGGCTGCTGAGGACGCCATGGTGAGCTCCTCCCGAAGCAGCCGTCCCTTGGGGTGATCAGCAGGTAGCTCCCCGAGGCGCCGCTCTAGTGACTCACGCAGCAAGCCCAGCTTCTGGTTGGACTCAGTCAATTTCTCCTGAGCCTGATACAGGAAGGCAGAGAGCTGAGGACAGGCAAAGGCCCTTCCCTAAGAACCCACCCACCACCAGCAACTTCTTCCTCTGGCCTAAACCTCAAACCTTCTTGGTCTAGTCAGGTAGAGCCTTGTAAAGCAGGCCTTGATGGAGCTAGGACCCACTGAGCAACCGCCCTCATCAAAGCCTTTTCCTTTCTGGAGCCTTGCTTCTTCTATTGCCAGGCCTCTCCCTGAGACTCTACCTTGCTCCTGGCTTAGATGCTGCTGTTGACTCCCTGCCTCGCCTATGCCCATCCCCCAGCCTCACACCTCCCTCGAATGCCCCACCCCAGCAGAAGCCCTTAGTGTCACCTCACTGACTCCTTTGCGGTCTGGGGCCTTGGCAGCACTGAGCAGGCGCAGGACGTTCTTGGCGCCTTCTGCCACCGCATGCTCCACTCGGAAATGGTGTCGCAGCTCCTCAATGCGCAGCTCTACGGCTCCCAGGTCTGGACCCCCTAGCACATGGGGCACAGGACAGTGAGACAACCTTCGGACTAGCCTGACCCCAGTCATACCGCCCTGTGCAGGCACAGCACAGCACACACTGCCACCGATGTGCACCATGGTTCTTCCACTGGAAGGGACTGCCATTTCCACACAAATTCAGTCACTCTCCCTCAAACACCAAAACTGCTAGGGACATGATTCCTACATCTGTAGAAAGGACGCACAGGCATATTGTCAACCTAGGCTTAGGGACAGACACATTGTAGCAGTCCCTTGCCATTCTCAGGGAAGACCACAGCAGGAAGGCAGCACTGCAATCGACAGCAGATACTATCTACACTCAGGGACATCACCCAGACATTATATTTCTTACCAAGGAAATGTCATCAAGACCTAACTCAGACTCTCATATCATTCTGGCATCCTTCATGTCCTACTGAACTTCCACCAACAGGGATACAGTAAGAACCCGAGTGTTTGAGCCCTGCACCAGTTTACTTGAGGGGATGGTATTGGAGACAGGGCTTCTGGGTTAGACAAGGTCATGAGGGATCACCCTTAGAGGAACAGCAGAGCTAGCCATGTGACTCACCCACTGGTAAATCAACTGCTGAGTGCAGGAGGACCCAGTCTATCCCTAGCACCAAACAAACAAGCAAACAAACAAAAAGCAGCAAGGACAAATCAGAACAAACGTAAAGCTGCGTGTGGTGGCGCACACCTACAATTCTAGCACTTTAGAAGCTGGAACTAGGTAGTGAGTCCCAGGCCAGCCTGGGGACAAGACACCAAAAAGAAAAAAGAAAAAGAAAGCAAAGGGGCAGGAAAGATAAAGGAGGCTGCCACCAAGACGGAATCTGATTCCCAGAACCCACATGGTAGAGAGAAATGACTCCTAAAAGTTGTCGTCTGGACTCACTCATGCCAATATATACACAAAAGTAAATAAATAGGAAAACAATGAAACAAAAATTAAAAAAAATGTTGGTCATAATAGCACATGCCTATAATTGAAGCATCTGGGAGACTGAGGGAGGAGAATTACCAAAAGTTCAAGGTCAGTGACCAGGACAGATGACCAGCTCTTGGCATCTGAGATGGTTGTTTTGTTTTGTCTCACGCGTTGCCCTGGCTGGCCTGGAGCTCACAAAGATCTGCCTGTCTCTCCTCTGCATGCTGTGACTGCAGGCCGCCACCGATGTGCCGAGCACTGTGGTGGTTAGTTTTAAAAGTCAACTTGCCACAACCTAGTTATCTAGGGAGGGAGTCTCCAGGACGATTGTCTGGATAAGGATGGCCTGTGGGGATGTGGGAGGGTACAGATTGCTGGGAGTGCCCGCGCACTGTGTGTGGTATCATTCCTGGTCCAAGGAGCCTGGATCATTCAAGAGTGAAGAGAACTGAGCCCCAGCATGCATGCGTTCATTTACTGCGCTCTTCTCTTGGCTCTGGCTGTGATGTTACGAGCCCCTCCAGCTTCCTGCTGCCCAAACTTCCCTAACGATGGGCTTCGTTAAATTGCTTTTGTCGGGATATTTTTTATCTTTTTTCCATTTTATTCTTATGTTGTATATGTATGCCTGTGCACCATGAGCACACAGTGCCCACATTAGCCAGAAAAAAATGTATTATATCCTCTGGTGTTGGAGTTACAGACTGAGAGCCACCATGCGGATCCTGGGAACTGAACCTGCATCCTCTCAAAGAGCAGTCAGAACTCTAACCACTAAGCCATCTCCAGGCCCTCAGAGTGTGTGTGTGTGTGTGTGTTAGATTTGAGAACAAATCAAGGAAGACGCCTGACATTGGTTTCGGGCCACACGCACAGGTGCACTCGGAAAAGTAATATGCAACCACGCTCTGGACCCCTGAGAGCGGCGTGACAAGGAGACAGCATGATCCAGGCCCCTGTGTCCCATTTCCACAAGGAGCTGGGCAGAAGATATACTCAGCTTTGTGGCCTTTTTGAGACAGGATCATACTAGGTAGTTGAAGCTGACTCATGGCTCAAAATTCCTCCTGCCTCAACCTCCAGCATGCTGGGCTGTGTCACTATGCCTGGCTCACTAAGGCTCGGTCACCCCTGCCCAGCTCTGTGAATGTGGTAAAAAGCAAATATGAAAAAATAGTTATACCTGTGTGCCAGTACAGTTTTATTTACAAAGATACCTAGCCTGGTATTGCAAGCCTACGATTCCAAACATTCATAAGGTGAAGGCAGGAGGACTGAAAGTTCAAGTCTGGCTTAAGCTACATAGAGAAACCTTTTCTCAAAATAAAAGATAAAAATAAAAATAAAGAGGTAAAGTGGGGAATACTGGCACATTCATCCTAGCACTTTAGAGGCAGAGGCTGGAGGATCGCTGTGAGTTAGAGGCAGCCTCCTCTACAGAGTTTAAAGCCAGCCAGGGCTAAATAATGAGGCCCTGTCTCAAAACACAAAAACAGGATGAACACAGTAATACACACTTTTTTTTTTTTTTTTTTTTTTTTTTGTAATACGCACTTTAAATTCAAGCATTCAGGAGGCAGAGACAGGAGGAGCTCTGTGTGAGTTAGAGGTCAGCCTGGTCTACATAGTAAGTTCCTGCACAGCCAGGGCTATTGTAGAAAGACCCTGTCTCAAAATTAAAGTAAATGGGCTAGAGAGATGGCTCATTGGTTAAGAACACTGTCTGCTCTTCCAAAGGACCCAGGTTCCTCTCCCAGCACCCACATGGCAGCTCACAACTGTCTGTACCTCCAGTTCCAGGTGATCTGACACACTCACACCACTGCACATAAAATAAAGAAATTATATTTAAAAAAACTAAAGTAAAAGCAACCAAGGGATGGGGCTAAACAGGTTGTTTGATTGTGGAGAAAGCTTGTTGGTCTTCCAGAGGCCCCGAATTTGGTTACCCAGGCCCACACTGAATGACTCACAACCAGCTGTAACTCTAGCTCCAGAGATCTGATGCCGTCTTCTGGCCTCTGCAGCACCTACACATATTCACACATGTACACACACGCAAATAAATCTTTAAAAACCAGGGCTAGCATATGGCTGAGTGGTACAGTGCCTACACAGAACCTCCAGCAAAGGTTGGGGACATGACTCAGTAATACAACACAGGCCTAGTATATAGGAGCCCCTGGGTTCCATCCTAAGAGCAACAAAAGAGAGGGAGGGAGGGAGGGAAGAAGGAAGGGAGAGGAGAAAGGAAGAAGAAACAAATAAACCAGCAGGTACAATTGGTCTGAGGGTGGCAACTGGCAACCACTGTCCTAGCCCAACCCTCTAATGGGACAAAAGGAAATCAGCCAGAGATAGGCAGGGCTAGGCTCCATTCCCAGTGAGGTTAATTCCGGCTTCCTTGCACTCCACAGCAAAGCTTTATAGGTTGAAGGTTGAGTCCCAGAAGGCTGAATGCAGGCAGGCAATGTGCAGGTGAAGGTCTTACCTGGGGCCTCATCAGTAGCTGCCTGGCTCTCCAGCTGGCCAGCCTGTAGTGCCTGCAGCGCACGACGGAGCTGCATGCGGATGATGTCAATCTTGGTCTTACTGTCCTGCAGCATCTGCTGGGCTGTCAACAGCAGCTTCCGGTCCTGCAGAGAGACATGCAAGGTGACAGGAAGCCTGGGGAACCCAAGCCTGACCACTGACCCTGCTATGCATGCCATGAAAGCCGTGGGTAAGACAGAGCACCTGTGCAGGCACAGATGCATACAAGGACACATATTCCACTGTCCTGGAGCCAGTGTGGTAGCATAGAGAATCCACGGGCTTCAGTTCTAGCTGCTACACAACAGCTGAGCTCTGTGACCTCAATCATGCTCTCCTACTTCTCTGGGCCTGAACTCCCTCATCTTCAAAGTCTGGACCACACTGGACTGAGGACTCATAGCTCAGCTTGGACCAGCTGGAGCTTCAACCTCCTCAGTTCTCAGATCACCTGTGAGCAGGCGTCTGCAGGGCACAGACAAGTGGCTGTATTCTGCAATGATATAAGAGGCCTAGAGCAGGCCAACCAAGAGACAGGAAACAGACTAGCAGTTACTAACTGGGACACAGCCTCCTATCCAGTGTTCTTTTTAGAACACTGTCTCACCTTGGTGCTGCCATTGCTGTAGGTCTGGATCATGTTTTCTGCCCCCTGCTTGACTTTCAGCTCAATGGCCAGCTGCTTCTCCAGGCCAGCCACTCTGTTCAGGTTGGTGGATGAGCAGATAGGGCTGCCCTCTGTGAGAGACTGGGGAGCATCTGAGGAAAGAGAATCACATAGTTGTCATTTCAGTGTACCCAGGAGACTTTGCCCCACCCAGTAGGAAGCCCTCAGCCCAGCCTGGTGCTGGGGGCCAGTGTACAGGCAGAAGACATCTGGCCCTCAGTGACAGAGTGGACCTCAGCATGAAGGAAGTTGGGTCAGTGCCAGGTATGCAGGGCTTCAGGGTTAGCTGGAATAAATGCCTGCATCTACCTAAGGGTGTGTAAGCCCACTGGTGTGAGTGTGATTGTATCCATAAGCCACAGGGGGTAGCAGGAGTGTAGTTCCCTAGATGTAGGTGTAACAGGTGTGTATGTGTGAGCTCACATCATTGCTTCTGATGGTACAGCTCAGTTCTGATCCCTAGGGGCCTCTGGGGTGCTGTTTTGAGGCTTGGCTGTTGTCATGATCACAGGTGAGGTCTGTATATCAAGAGTCATGTGGGGGGCTCGCTGCAGAAGGGGCTTATGAGGTTCATGGTGAACTCCACCCACATGTTGTTGGGGTAGTATTGGACCCCAATGGCTGACACAGTCATATGGAGAGGCTCTGGAGCTGAGCCCGCTGACTGTATGTAAAGTCTGCTGTGGCTGGGACAATGGTGGGACACCTCTGGGGTTGGCATGACCAGGTGGACAAGCTCTGGTGTCGCTGTTGGTCAGTGTGTCTCTCTAGGTGCTGTCAGGACTGTGCTGCAGTCTTTGGAGTCATGTCATCATGTTTTCTGTCTTGCTGAGGTGGCATAACTGACTGTGTACTTCTCTAGTCGTATGTGACAGTATGAACTCACTGGTATCCTCTGCACTTTCTGTGACCATGAACATCTTACCTACAAGATGAAGGAGCTGTGGCCTTGTTTTATTGCTGCATAAACACACATAAAACTAATGAACTCTGCCAATGATAAATTACACTGTGGGTTTTCTTTTCATGTGTGAGTGGAAGCCAGAGGGGCAGTCCTCAATTGCTCTCCACTTTTTTTTTTTAATTTTTATTTTTTTATTTTGAGATAAGGTTTCTCAGGGAGCCTGGAGCTCTGATTCGACTGAGTATGACTGAGCCGAGACCCTCATATGTCTACCTCCCAAGTGCTAGGATTACCAACACATTCAGCTTTACTTGGGTGCTTAGTGTACAAAGCCAAACATTTACACAGGCCTGACACAGCAAACACTGTCCTGGCTAAGTCAGCTCCTCCGAATGTGGGGTTTTCACTTTTAACACAATAAAAAAAAAATGTTTTTGTTTTTATTTTTCAATACAGGGTCTCTCTCTGTAGACCTGGCTGTCCTGGAACTCACTCTGTAGATCAGACTGACCTTGAACTCACAGAAATCTACCTGCCTCTGTCTCCCAAGCGCTGCTGGGAATAAAGACATGTACCACCACCAGCCAGCCCTAAAAAATTTTTAATTTAATTCTGTCTTGAGGAAGGAACTCAAGAGCCTTCCACATGTGGAGTGAGCTCTGTACCATTGGGCCTCACCCCAGCGCTCTTCTCGTTTCTGCTTTCTCTCTTTCTTCCTTCTTGTTTTTTTTTTTTTTGTTTTGTTTTTTTTTTTTTGTTTTTTTGTTTTGTTTTGTTTTGTTTTGTTTTTGGGGGTGTGTGGTTCCAGACAGGGTTTTTCTGTGTAGCCTTGGCTGTCCTAGACTTGCTTTGTAGATCAGGCTGACCTCAAACTCACAGGTATCCTCCTGCCTCCCTGGCTTCTTCTCATTTTCTTTATATGTTTTTGAGATAATATGTCACTAAGTTGCCCAGGCAAGGCTTGGTCTCCCTTTAGTCTCCTAAGTAGCACAGATTACAGACCTGTGCCCCCAAATCTGGTAACGGTCATTTTTATATTTTTAAAAAAATTTAAATTTTGGCTGGGCAGTGGTGGCATACACCTTTAATCCCAGCACTTGGGAGGCAGAGGCAGGTGGATCTCAGTTTGAGGCCAGCCTGGGCTACAGAACAAGTTCCAGGACAGCCAGCGCTACACAGAGACCCTGTATCAAAATTAAATTATATTAAATGTGCAAAAGTCTCAGGCTGGAGATGTGGCTCCACTGGAAGAGTGTTGGCCTTGCATGCACAAAGAACTGGGGTCCGTTCCCAGCACCACATAAACTGAATGTAATTTTACAGGCCTGTAACTTCAGCCCTTTGGTTCTCAGGAGATAGAGGAAGGAGAATCAGGAGGCCAAGGCTAGCCTAGGTTACAGAAAATTCTGTCTCAAACTGCATACACCTTTAATCCCCACACCTGGGAGGCAGAGACAGGGGGATCTCTATGAGTTTGAGTCTAGCCTAGTCTACACAGTAAACCCGAGAACAGCCAGAACTACATAGTAAGTGAAAACTTACTATGTCAAAAACAAAAACAAGGGTTTGAGAAATGGCTCAGAGGTTAAGTGCACTAGCTGTTCTTCCAGAGGTCCTGAGTTCAATCCCCAGCAACCACATGTTGGCTCCTACTACCTATAGTGAGATCTGGTGTGCAGGTGCACATGCAGGAGGAACGCTGCACACATAATAAATAAATAAATAAATCTTAAAAAAAAGAAAGAAAAAAGGGGGGAGAGCTGGGACTACAGTTCAGCACTGAGAGCGCTTGCTGCTCTTGTGGAGGACCAGGGCAGATTCATCAGGTGACTCCAGTTCCAGGGGCTCCAATGCCATCTTCTGGTCTTCTCAGGCATCTGACATGTGATACACATGCAGACATTTAGGCACACACATACACATACGTAGGCTTTTTTTTTTTGGAAGGGGGCGGTGTTTAAAACGGTTTCTCTATGTAGCTCTAGCTGTAGGGGAATTCTGTAGACCAGACTGTCCTTGAACTCAGACATCCACTTGTCTCTGCCTCCCCAGTTTTTGTTTTTGCTTTCTGAAACAAAGCTTCACTTTACGAGGTAGCCCTGACTGTCCTCAACTCACAGAGATCTACCTGCCTCTGTCCATTTACATACACATATATAAAACAAAGCAAAGAACAACAACAGAAAGATAGCCTCCAAGTGCTGTTTTACTGTTATGATTGTAGAGAGCTTTGAGAGTAATGAGTGTGCAATATTTGGGTGTTAGTGTGACTATGAGTTTCTGGGTTCTCATGTTACTCAGATGTGTGTTGTCTGGGAATAGCTGTAGCTGTGTCCTTAGGTACCTGGTGACAGTGCATGGGTCTCCGGATGCTGGTTTGTGTACCTAGGTACTCCTGGATCTGTGAATAGCTGTGAATGTGTGTTTACCTCAGTGTTAGTGGGCCTGTGCCTCCCGTCCACAGTGTGTGTCAACAGTGTCCTGATGGCATCCAACTCCGGAAGGTCAGTAGACCCCTGCCTGCCCCCAAGCTTTCTGCTCACCACTCCCTGCTGTAGGGTCAGGCAGCACCACGTGCGCGTGCAGCTCCTGCAGCTGCTGGTGCAGCAAGTCAAGGCGTCGAGCAGAGCCCCGCAGCAGCAGCTCCACGGGACCCAGGCTGCGGCCCAGGTCAGTGGTGGCTCGCCTCAGGTTCTCAGCACCCTCCTTCAGCTTCAGCTCCTTTCGGATCTCCCGCTTTAGCCGCTCTCGTTCTAACTCCAACTGTTGCTGCACCCCGGGGGCTGCCAGGTCTGCCCCAGCCAGACCCAGCTGCTCCAGCAGCGACCAGCTGCGTGGCTCACTCTGCAGGGGGATAAACCAGACACACAAGGTCAGAGGCTGGTAGACAGGTGGCCTCACCAGGGCAGAGCTCACCTGACTCACCACCACCCTGTTCCATCCACCCTAGAATTCCAAGGGCAAGGGCCTGTTCCTCCTCCCTGACCCTCAGAAATGGGGCATCTGGGCCAGACAGAAGTTCAGGGAGTAAAAAGTTCTTGCTTGCCAAGCCTGGTGACCTGAGTTCACTCACCATGAATCTACATAGTGGAAGGAGACAATCAGCTCATAAAAATTATCCTCTGACCTCCACCACACCCACGTACACACACAAATAAATAAATTGGAGCCTTGCAGAGGAACTGAATTCCAGATCCAGGGGTCCTGATGCCTCTAGCCTCTCTAGGCCCTGGTGTGCATATGTACATAACCCCACAGACACATATGCATAATAATAATATCAATCAATAAATAGGAGGTCAAAGAATAGGCCAAGAATAGTTTGCATGGACCAGGGTCACCACAAGTGTGCCCTATCTCCCTTAATTTGTTGCCTATGCAATGGGATTTTGGCAGAAGACTCCAGCAGATTCTTCTTCTCCTCTAGTTTCCTGCTCTCCTAACCAGGAGGTCCCCAGGGCAGGCTACTTGTTTCTTTTGCCATCTCCAAAACCAGGAGGGCCTTAGAGACATATCCTCACTTCATCTGCATTCCCAAACTGGAAGGTCCCAAGGGCTGGTCCTGCCTTGCAGACCTCATCTCTTCCCACATCTCCCGAGCCTGAGAGTGACACGGCACCCAGGTTTCACCCTCCCCCTGGAGAACTCTGTCACTAGTGCGCCACCTCTTCCTATCCTTAGTCTCCAACTGAGAGGTACCCAGAGCAGAATTTCCAGTTTCTGCCCCGTGGGGTCTCCTCCTGCCCATCCCCTGGAGATCCCAGCCTCACCTCCAGCTTCAAACGCAAAGGGGGATCAGCTGCCATCTGGGTCCTAGGGTTTGTCTGAGGGCCACGCCCTCTTCCTGAACCTCAGCCCTGCCAGGGCCTCTAGACTGCCACTTCCTCTTTCCTGCCAGTTCCCAGCATCCTCTGTGTCAGGCCATCTCTAGGGCATGTGTTTTTTCTGTTTTGTTTTTTGGTGTAGTATTTTACTTGGAGGGGGAGTGTGTTTTGGTTTTTCCTTTGAGACAGGGTCTCTCTACATAGCCCTGGCTGTCCTGGAATTCACTATGGAGATCAGGGTAGCTTGGAACTCACGGAGCTCTACCTTCTTCTGCCTCCCAGGTGCTGGGATAAAGGTGTGTGCCATTTAAGAGGTTCATCACACATCACCCCCTAAATGGCTATGCCCACTTCTCTGGAGGCAAGCCAGGGACAGACAGTCCTCATCCCTGACCTGAGAGGGCATCCTGGACATATACTCCCACAGTATGTACTTGGCAGGGAGGATCTCATGTGATACACAGTATGTGTGTGGACCACAGGCTCATAGTGTGGTCACATTCCCAGCTTTGCGGGGCTGAGATTTGCACACAGGCTCATATATGCACAAACAGTACAGGCTCATATATATGTATATCCTTGCCACCGCTGGCTTCAGTTGTGAACTTGAAAGACCTGTAAAGAGGGAACTTCAGCTGAGGAATTGCCTCTGACAGATAGGCCCAGCCCTCTGTGGGCAGTGCATCCCTGGGCAGGTAGGCCTAGACTGTATAAGAAAAGGAGCTGAGTAAGCTAGAGGAAGTGAGCAACGTCCCTTCTGTGGTTTTGCTTTAAGCGCCTGTCTTGAGCTCCAACTGACTTCACTGCATGAGGGACTATAATTTATAAAGGCAAATAAACCCTTTCTTTCCTAAGTTGCTTTTGGTCAGTCTTTTATCACAGCAACAGAAAGCAAACTAAGGTAATCCCTGGCTCAGGAGTGTATGGGGAGAACATGGGTTCACATGTGCAGCTTCTAGCTCTGCAGGTCTGCACCTTGCTCGCTGAGTGCACGGAACACTGAGTCCCATGTACGTGCACTTCTATACCTGCAGGCGTGTGCCTGGAACTCAGGCTGGGGTTTGCCCAGAGGACTCTCACACATACTGCGCTCCCTCCCGTATCTGCATGGGGGTGGAACACAGCCTCAAAAGCATGCACACTCCCGTGCCTGCCTGCACAGATTCTCATAAACAAGCAACAGTGAGTACTAGCTGAGCTCCCCTGGAAGCCACTCAGATGCACTCCCCCTGCCAAGGGCCACAGTCTACAACCTCATGCACATGTATATACTCAGACCTCTCACACTTTTGTTTTGTTTTGTTTTTATTTTGTTTTATTTTATTTTATTTTTTGAGGTTCAGGGCTTGCACATGATCACACTTTTTTTTTTTTTTTAGTTGCACCGCTCATGCTCCAACAGCAGCCCTGAGGTCCCTCAGGCCCTCAGCCCTACTACTGCCTGTCCATGTTGATACGGAGAGACCCTTCCACTTGTCCCTTGTCTCCAACTTCCCCTTAAGGATCAGAACAGCCAGTTCTGTAGGGTGTGTGTATATGTATGTACTTCCTGTAGACAGGCAGCACCAACTTCCTGCTTCCTCCTACCCAGAAGTCCACCATGGCTGACCCAGCTTGAAGGCCTAAGGAGCCCACCTGGCCTAGTAGTAGCTCCCTGAAGCTAACACTAGGAGGAAGCAGCCCTGAGGGGCCCAAACAGCATCCCACAACTGTTTGCCAAATATACACTAAATCTCAACTATCAGTGGTAGCAGTTTCAAAGCCATACATACATATCAAGGTCAAGGTACATATGAGAACACTCTATTTCCCACTGAATTTCACTGTGAACCTAAAACTGCTCTAAAAAAACAAACCATATTTTAAAGTAGTAGTAGTGGTGTTAAAGAGATGGTTCAGCAATTAAGGGCTCACACTTTCTTCCAGAGGACCGAGGTCCTAGTACCATGACAGATGACTCCTGATGCCTGTAACTTCAGTTCCAGGTGGATCTGATGTCTCTGGCTTCTGTGGGCAGATACTACCCAACATACATAATTGAAAACAACAAAACACAGAAAAGCAGTAGTAATGATAACCACAGCCACAGGCAGAGGGTGAAGTTTGGTAGCATGTACAAGCTCTGCACCTCAAAACTAACATTAACAGCAGCTATGACAGCTATTACTCATCTAGGTCCATGGTACAGGGACTATCTGTTTTGTTTGGCTTCAGATTGTTTTATGTCTGGGTCTTGTGTAACCCAAGGTGGCTTTGAACTCTATACATAGCTAAGGCTAGCCTGACCCTCCTGCTTCCACCTTACCGGTGCTAGGATTGTGACTCATGCCTTTGTGCACCTAGCATAGCATGATATGGGTGCTATAGATGGAGACATAGACCAATAGATAGGAAACCATCTTCAAAATGAAGAAATTGAGTCCTAGCAAGGCCTGGTGCCATGCCTTTAATCAGAAAACTCAGGCCAGCTGAAGCTACACAGTGTGACCACGTCTCAAAAAAACCAAACCAAACCAAACCAAACCAAACCAAAACAGGAAGGAAGGAAGGAAGGAAAGAAGAGCAAGGAAGGAAGGAAGGAAGGAAGGAAGGAAGGAAGGAAGGAAGGAAGGAAGGAAGGAAGGAAGGAAGGAACTAGCTGAGGCCCCTTGCTCCTATGTCCCACAAGCAACAAGAAACAGGGCCAAGATTCGCACTGGCTGGGAGGAGTTCCATGTCCATCACGCTGTGCCGCTGTGAGCTACCGTCACAATGAGCAATGTTCCAGCCTCTTAAGCCCTCCTGCAGGGTGTATAAAGATTGCAGGCCAAAAGCACAGATCTTGTGACCCTGTCATCTCTTCACTGTGTATCTGTATCTGAATAGTGGCCACTGAGGGGGAAAACTGAGGCTCAGAGAGGCCATAGCAGCAGCTCTCAGTGAAGGCGGGTTGTTTTCTCCTCTCCTCTAGAAGTATATGTCATTGTCTGCAGCCATTCTTGGTTGTCATCACAACCAAAGTATAGAGGGGACATCTGTCAAGTGTCAATGTCCTGACGGCTCCCACCACCAAATGATCCAGTCCCAGATGACAGTGCTGGGATCTTGGGAAGGGACATGGGCGCACAGCTTGGACTGGCAAGCTCCATATTCAGAAGTAAAAATGTCACAGAAGCCATTGGAGCACTGGCTGAGGCTCCAACTCTCTCCCTATAACCACTACCGCAACTCTCCCACCCCCTTGCCCTCCCCAAGAGTTTCTCTGAGTAACCCTGGCTGTCCTCAAACTCTGAGATCTGCCTGCCTCTGCCTCCTGAGTTCTGGAATTAAAGGCAACCACCAGGCCCTCATAACCGTTCTCCCCATCCCCTTCTCCAAAACAGAAATAAGACTCAGAAAGGTAAAGACATTTGACCCAAGAACTCATCAGGGTTTAATCCATTGGGATTCAAACCCAGCCTCACTGAACAACACTGGCATGACCAGGCCCCACCCACTGTCCCCCACCAGTGCTCCCAACCCCCCAGCCGGCAAAGCAGGTACACAGCCAGGAGCAGGGCCAGCTCAAGCACACAGGCAAAGAGGAAAAGTGAAGGCCCTTGGCCCCACCTCTAGCAGAGAAGGGCTGAGAATATGAAAAGCATGCAGGGAGGGAGGCAGGTGCTCCTGGGTCCTCCCTCCTAGCCTGGGTGATTCACTTTTGCCCAGGGACAAAGAATCACTTGAGGGCAGCAGGGCCAACGCCCGGCCTGGTCTTTAAGAATTAGAACGTCAGCTTCTCCCCCTGCCATCCCAGACCTGGGAGACACCAGACAAGAGCTCTCACCTTGGGGAAACCCTCTTGGCAGAGTGGCTAGGAACCCCAAGCCCCACATCCTGAGATTTCAATGCCTGGGGCGTTTCCAGTATCTAGACAGGACATCCGTTCGTTCGCCAGACACAGAACAGACAGGCATGGAGGGAGCAGGACAGGGCGGCGAGTCCAAGCAGGAATGAACACAAGGGAGAAGACGGGAAGGAGACCGAGATGTAGGTCCAGTTCTGGGATCACAGCCTCCATATGCGTCCTGCATGGGACATACCAAGCACATGCATGCACTGGGAGCGCCCTACACAGCCCTCTGGGCCTGAGGGGAGCCGGCACCGGTGCAGCAGCCTGGAGGTCTGACCTTGTGGGATCGGCAGCACCAGATACGCCCAGCTCCTCGGCAAGGCCGGCAGGCCATCAGCAGGACTGGGGAAGAGGGGTCAGGACGGTATAGGGGAGACACGGGGGCAGGTGTAGAAGGAGATGAGAACCAGTTACACAGGACAGTGGACTGCACAGTGAAGAACTAATGGAGCCACAAAGATACACTGATCTCGGATTTGGGGTCACTGAATTAGAGGGTGGGAAGCCAGTCACCCCAACTCCTATTCCTCTTGGGAAGGTGAGTTCAGAAATGCCAACAGGTCACACAGGGAAGGCCATGCGACTGGCAGATGCCAGTCACAGGTGTCTGTTGCGGAAGGGGGGGCGCAGTAACCCAGCCCTGTCACCTTCCAGACATAAAATCCTTCCTGCTTGTGTGACAGGATGAGCCCCACCTGGGCTCCATCTTTCAGCCTGAAGGGTGGCTACGGGGGCGGGGGGAGGGGGCGGCGCGGAAGGAGGAACCCAGCCTCTGGCCTAATGAAGTGACTTGGGCACTTCCTCCAACAGGTGCCCATCTTGGTGGCGTCAAGACCATCGTAAAGACGTCTGCTGGCGGGGGTGGCCCGGGATTTGTTGTGCGGGGGGAGGGGCATGGGTTCGGGGCAGGCAGAGTGCCAGGCACCTGCTCCAGGTGAAGCGGCACCTGCCAGAAACCGAACGCCGGACGACTAGGACGTGGGGACCAGAGGCACTGGGACCCGACGCTGGCCGCGGACGCTGGCAGTGGGGGCCTCCCGCTGCTCCTGCTGACTCTCGGGGAGGCCCGGAGGAGGGGGTGCGGTGGTAGAATCGCGAACGGCACCCCTTCCTCCGACCAGGTCGGCGCCTCCACCTGCTACCAGGGCCCGCGCGGGCTCCCGATGGGGACCTCATCCCAGGCTCTACCGGTGCCCCGGGGTCCTCCGCGCCGTCCGGCCACCCCGCGGGTGCGGACAAGTCGCCTACCTGCACAGCGTCGCCGGCCATGTCCTCCGGCCACCCTCCAGGGGTCCCAGCGCCGAGGGAGTGCTTGCGAGCGCGCGAGCGGGCGGGCGCGGCGGGAGGCGCGGCGCCCAGACCCTCCCTAGCGCGCGGCGCGCTCCGGCCTTGCTCGCGTTCCGCCCGGCCTGGCCAGGCCTCCGCCGAGCTGCGCCCTCGGGCCCCGGCGGCTGCAGGACGGGTCACGTGAGCGCTGAGGTCCGCGCCTGGGGAGAAGGCGGGGCGGGGGCGGGGCGGGGCTCCCGGCGGCCCCCGGGGCTTGCAGCCGGGAGTGGGGTCCCTATGCTCCGCGGAGCTTGTGCTCCTCGCAGCGTGCGGGAACTCTGAGCAGGCCTAAGCCTCCACGAGCTGCAGGAGGCCTTGTCCCCAACCCCCGCCCTGGACCCCTATGAAAGCAAAAGTCACTATCAGTCTCCCTACCGCCCAGACGCACAGACCTACTTCCCATTTACCCAAAGGCAAGCGCTGGGAGAACCTGACTTCAAATCCCAGTGCCCCAGGACTTGGGAGACCACCGCACCCCTCAGGGCAAGGATATCCGTAAAACTTAATGAGGAAGAGCAGGCCAAATGTAGAGAACTCAGTGCACAATAAGCACCAGCGGCTGTCACTTTTATCTCGTTTTGAAGACTTGATTTATGTGTATTAGAAGTAAGTTCAGGGTGGCAGAGAGAGAGCCCACCATTCTAACGGAAATGTCTGAATGAGGCAATCTTTACTGGACAGTGTGCTGGGGAAAAAAAAACACAAGGAGACAGGAAGTGCATTTGGCTTTTATTCTTAACTCAGGTGACCTCACAATCTTATTCAATTGGCTAGTCTGGAAAAAATTGATGCAGAGGAAATGGAGGAGGAAGGGGAAGGGGATCACTGCTTCAAGCCATCAAATTCCTAGAATGGAGGGGGGGCTTTATGTAAACAAAAGTTTCACTGGATGGGGAGGATTTATACATCTCTGTAAGTCTTATAAGGTAGGGGACAAAGATTTTTAATTACTCTCCAAACCACAAGTTCTATAGTATTTGCTTGATTTCTTACTTGTGTGTATGTGTTTCTGTGTCTGGGTTATGCATATATCTATGTGCAGGTGCTTCTGGAGGTCAGAAGATGACAGGGATCCCCTAGAACAAAATTATAAATGGTTTGTGAGCTGCCCCACCTGGGTGCTGGGGGGGTGGACTTGGGTTTTCTAAAAGAGTAGTATTGCTCCTAAACTCTGACCACCTCTCCAACTACTATTTTAATTTTTATTCCATTTATTTAGTGTGTGTGTGTGTGTGTGTGTGTGTGTGTGTGTGTGTGTGTGTTCACGTGCACGTACACGAAAAAGCCAAGGCAAATGTGTGGTGGTCAGTGAATATCCTGCAGGGTCAGTTTTCTTCTTCCAGCTTATCATTTTCAGGGGTGAGGGGGCAAACTTAGGACATTGGGCTTGGCCCTAAGTGCCTTTACCTGCAAGCCATCTCACTGGACATGATGTCACTTTTAATAATATTTGCTACTACTAAGGGGTTTAAATCCTGATGGCCTCTGATGCCCTGGCCCTGTGGGTCCCTGCTGGGCTCTGGCTTTTGCCCTCTGTGGAGTTTGCCAGCTTCTTTTTCCTGGGTGCTGCATTCACATGGTGTGCAAGCCCTGCACACTGGTGTCCAGGTGGAATGTAGGGGCTTCCGCAGAGTTTCCCTTGGGTGCCCAGAGTAACTCGAAGGCAGTTTGCATTGTGGTCGCTGCCAGGACTTCTCACTCAGAAACCCAGTAAGGGATCCAAACTTTGGTCCCCAGGGCTCCAGGCAGGAAGCACTGAAGGCTACAATGGATGCCCTCCAGGAATCAGTGCTGGCACAGGGGGACAAGATTATTTTATGTGTCTGTTTTTCCAGTGACAAAGCTGTGGGGTTTCTCTTTCTCTTTTGGCCGACTCCTTGGGGGATTTTAACAGAGAGGAGGGAAAACTACAGCCATAGAGAAGATGCTCTCTTACCTTCTCTAAGCCCCCAACAGGCCCCACACACCAGCCCTGATCTATCTGGACCAGAATAGAACCCTTTTTCCTCGTACCCCAGCCTCCTCTTAACTACCTACAGTCTGCTTTCCAAACCACAGACCAGGAGGGCCTGTGGACACCTAAAGTCAAGACATTTCTGGGAGGAGTCCACCAGGCTCTGTGTGATCTCCTGCCTTTGCCTTCTCCACATCTGTGTTCGATCACCCCTTCAGCAACTTAACATCCTTATCACAGGCCAGATGTTTGTTGAGTGAATTAAATATCTTGCCAAACTAGTCATGTAACTTCCCTTTTTGCAGATTGATAAAAGAGAGGAGACCCTTGCCTTCACCATCAAGCCAGGATGTTCGTGGCTCCTTGCATAATGGGCAAGGAACCCACACATTTTACAGATGGGGAGGGCATGGAGATGCTAGGGAAAAACCTTGCCCAGGGCCCTGCCTGCCAGGTTCTGAGCTGCCTCTGGGGACGGGGCTTGGGAATCCAGCCAGATTCCCCTTCAACCTTCCAGCATTCATTTACTCATCAAGTCTTTAACAGTGATTGGAGTGTGTTGGAAACAGCTATACTCTAGGCTTTAAAAGGGACTGACAAAGACTCTCCACACAGCATGAAAAAAGCCCCACCAGATGCCTTCAGCATCCCTGGCCTCTCCCCACTCCACTCTGGAGCCTGGAAACACTAGATCCCAGACATATTAGGTGTCATCATGGTCTGCCTCTCCATGCTGGAAAGTCTGATCCTACCTCTGAAGCAGCCTAAGAAAAGGTTTCTCATCCTCATTTGGTCTCTGTTGTCTCTGTTCAGCCACTCTGGTCTCTTCATAATGGCCAGCCACGGGTCCTTGGCACAGGCTCTTCTATGGTCTAAAATGTTTTTCTGGCATATTTCCCCAAGGCTAGCTCCCTTTACTCATTTGTTTTTTAAAAAATTTAATTACATTAAAAATGTATTTAAATGTATTTTTAAATGTGTATGTACGTATGTATGTATGTAGATCTGTGCCCACGAGTCCAGGTACCCATGGAGGCCAGAAAAGTTTATCAGATCCCCTGGAATTGGAGTTACAGATGGTTGTGAGCCACCAAGTGGGTGCTGGGAACCAAACCTGGGTCCTCCACAAGAGCAAAAAACACTCTTAGTTGTGGCATCTCTCCAGCCCCAATTTTTATTACATATTAAAATGTATTTAGTATCTGTATGTGTAGGGGTGGGGGTGTGTAAGAGAGAGAGAAAACACAGGTGCCATAAATGGCACATATGGAGGTTAGAGGACAATTTTCAGGAGTCATTCTCATCTTTCACTTTGTGGGTCCTAGGCTCAAATTCTGGTTGCCAAACATCATGGTGAGTGCCTTCACCTTCCAAGGAATCTCACTGGCCATTTTTAAAATGACTTTTGTTTTAATCAACTGTTTAAAAGTCACCATTCTGAGACTCTCTCAGTCCTCCCCTATGGCTTGACTCTGCATCTTTGGTCCTGGGCATGGTTTGACCTAATTTCAGTTACTCTTCTCTGCCTGTGGTGGTTTGAATGAGAACGGCCTCCATAGACCAGTGTTTGGTCCCTAGTTGGTGAACTGTTTGGGAAGGATTAGGAGGTGTGACCTTGTTGGAGGAGGTGTGTCACTGGGGGTGGGCTGTGAGGTTTGAAAAGGACATGCCAGGCCCAGACTAGCTCTCTCTGCACCATGCCTGTGTCAGGAGGTGGGCTCTCGGCTGCTGTTCCAGCACATGCTGGCCTGCCCGCCACCACCATGATGGTCATGGACTAAGCCTCTGAGACTCTGATCAGGACCTCAGTTAAACACTTTCTTCTATATGTTGCCTTGGTCATGATGTCTCTTCACAGCAATAGAACAGTAACTTAGATACAGGTCTTGCTCTCTCTCCTCCATCTGTACAAAGGATGAGTGGACACTGTGAGCGGAACACTAGCTCTACAGAGGTCTGAAGACAACCACACCATGGTAGGAAGTGAGCTAGGATTCTCAGAGGAGCTGGCCCTGTAGGCGAGTATTAAAGATTGAGTAGAAACATGCCAAATGTTTGGAAAATTCCAGAATCCAGGGGATAGAAGCAGATAGATCTCTGTGAATTTGAAGCCAGCTGATTCATATAGTAAGACCTTGTCTCAAAAGAAGAAAAAGAAAAAAGAAAGAGATAGCAGAGGGAGAGCCTAGAGATTCGAAGAAGAAGGAGGAGGAGGAGGAGGAGGAGGAGGAGGAGGAGGAGGAGGAGGAGGAGAAGAAGTCAAGTCCTGGGGTGCTGTCAGCTTCTTTGGCTCCTCATTGTTTCCTCAAGCCTGTCCTGACCTCAGGACCTTTGAACTGGATGCTGCTATCTGTGATCTTTTCTCTCTCCCCCTTCATGCTCACCTTTGTTCAAATGTCCCCACCTAAACCAGACCTTTTCTGGCACCTTCACCTAAAAGAAGTGTGGGGATCAGGAACCAAGAGGCAGGGGGCTAAGTAGTGACAGAGTCCACAGAATCCTGGGAATCAGACTCCAGAGACCAGACTCAAAGGTGCAGATCTAACTTTATTGTCCAGTGTAACAGTCTTTAAATGACTAAGAGGCTGATCAGACCATCCCATGCTAGCCTCAAGCACCAGTAACAATCAATCAGCTTGGTGCAACTATAAGGAAATGTGAGAGATGGGGGGGGGGGTGTAGGGTCACGTTAGGAGACTTCCGTAAAGAAGGGGGAAGCAGTCACCCCCTCGCCTCATCCATTTTGAGACTTCACTAGTGTGCTAGGAGTCCCTCGTGGATCAACACTGTAGGCAGTGGATGAGGATCAGGAGTCCCAGGAGTCACTGATGGTTCACTCGCCGTTCCATTTGGGTCTGCAAAAGGCTTACCTCCACATTCCCCACACTACACAGAGAAACTTGGTCTCAAAAATCAATCAATCAATACATACATACATAACTAAATAAAAATAATAAATGTTAGATTTTATTTTAGTATGTAAATTATAAGTAATAAAGGTTTAATGAAGGCTTTTGTGCACTCTTGACTGCTGAGCCATTTCTCCAGCCCCAGTGTTTACTTTAAGATAGAGTCTGGCTACATAGCCCAGGCTAGCCTTGAACTCATCCTATAGACTAGGCAAGTTTCAAAACTCCTTGTCTTCCTAGCTCAGCATCTGGAGTAACAGGTAACGGGATTACA